TGCGACTCCCTAAATATGTTATGTCATCAACAAAAGCGTGTCCCTCCAATTAACAAATACAGGCAAAATGTTAATCATGCAATCATTTAATACAAGCAACATGTTTATCATGCAACATGTTTATCATGCAATTCTTTAGGTGCTGTTATTGTGGTTAGAGCATTTGTTTTTATTCGATAAAAAAAACGAATTTTTAAAAAAAAAATTGCGTTTCTCTTATTTCACAGAATCAACGATTGTTTTTTCTGGTGTGTTTTTTTTTTTTTTTTTAGCGCAATTTCCATTCTGGAGAATTGCGTTTATTAACCCGTCATTTCTGGATGGATGGATGGATGGATGGATGAATGTGTGTCCGGGCTTTAAGTCGTATCTCCTCCTCAACGAAGCAATATCGATGACTAGTTCCAAAAGCAATTATGTTAAGCAAGTTACGAGAATGAGCATAGGCCATAAAAATTCCGGGTTTCTTTCATGTATTTCCCGTAAAAGCCAAAAAACCTCGAAAAAATGCAGTTTTTGGCCCATATCTCGGCAACCAGACCACTTAGCGACTTGAAACATGTACCAATCGATTCCTGCCATAATTTAGAACAGTATTGCCGAAGAAAGTTTTCAAAAATATCCTCTCGTTCGGTCACAAATTTTAAAATTACATAAACACCTACAAACCGATCGCTCTTCAAGCTTGAACGCACCCAATCATTATACGTCAGAGCTATTTTTAGATAACATAAGGAAATTGCGCATAAATGTCACTAGACTTTTTTAATTAACTTGTTTGGTTAAAAAGGACATAACAATCTGCTGTTGTTTAGAGTTGATCAACCACACAACATGACAATCATTTTAGTCATACAACAACAGTCATCCAACATGTGTCATACAACATCAGTCATACAATATTAGTCATACAACATCATTCATGACTCGCTAGTCGCTAAACATTAGTCATTACAAATCAGCATCAAAATCGGTTATTGATTAACTGTGTTCATAAGTAGCTAAACCAGGGGTGTCCATTTGTAATGTATCACTATTGAAGACGGTGTGGCTAATAATAATAAAATCGTATGACAGCTCTATGACTGATTTGTACGTGTGTGTCGACGTGTGTGTGTCGACGTGTGTGTACGTGTTTGTGTATGTGTGTGTGTCGGCGTGTGTGTATGTGTGTGTACGTGTGTGTTGCTGTGTGTTTGTGTACGTGTGTGTTGGCGTGTGTGTACGTGTGTGTGTACGTGTGTATCAGCGTTTTTATCGGTGTCTGTGTGCGTGTACCTATAAGACGTTCGAAACTATGGCAACGTCTTCTAATGCACGACAAAGGTCACTGACCTATGAACGAACACGTGACCTACTCACACCGCTAGCTACTCTCTACACTAAGAGTACACTACTCCACCTACACCATGCATGTTCCGACGATGTCAGTCCAGTAGCGTCATTGGAGGAAGCTTTAAGAGTCCACCCAGCAATAACGAGTACCTTGCAATCAAAGCCGCCAATATACGTGTACCCACATCGTCCGAAAACCATCTTAACTTCAGTGAGTTTCGTTTTTCGGAAACTTATTTTCCGAGTGCAATCTTGTTTGGAGTTTCATTTTTAACATTGCTAATAAATGTTTGTGTGTTGGGGGGGGGGGGGGGGTGTTGTAGTGTCGGCAAAGATTAGTGTGTAGACTGCGAAGAGAGTAGTGTGTACGCTTGGGATGGAGAGAGAGAGTTGTGTGTACGCTAGGGAGAGAATGGGTTGAGTGTACGCTAGGAGAGGAGTGAGTTGCGTGTACGGTAGGAGGGGAGTGAGTTGCGTGTACGGTAGGAGGGGAGTGAGTTGCGTGTACGCTAGGAGGGGAGTGAGTTGCGTGTACGGTAGGAGGGGAGTGAGTTGCGTGTACGCTAGGAGGGGAGTGAGTTGCGTGTACGCTAGGAGGGGAGTGAGTTGCGTGTACGCTAGGAGGAGAGTGAGTTGCGTGTACGCTAGGAGGGGAGTGAGTTGCGTGTACGCTAGGAGGGGAGTGAGTTGCGTGTACGCTAGGAGGGGAGTGAGTTGCGTGTACGCTAGGAGGGGAGTGAGTTGCGTGTACGGTAGGAGGGGAGTGAGTTGCGTGTACGCTAGGAGGGGAGTGAGTTGCGTGTACGCTAGGAGGGGAGTGAGTTGCGTGTACGGTAGGAGGGGAGTGAGTTGCGTGTACGCTAGGAGGGGAGTGAGTTGCGTGTACGCTAGGAGGGGAGTGAGTTGCGTGTACGGTAGGAGGGGAGTGAGTTGCGTGTACACAACTTTACAACAAGATGCAGTAGCACGTTACCAACATTACCAGAATCAACTTTTGTGTGTTCATTCTCATCAATCATTAACCCAGAATCATCCTTTATATGTACATTCGCATCTACCCCATTAAACAGAATCATCCTTTGTCTGTCTATTCACAATCTATCCCCTAGGATGCGAACAGCCATTGTGTAGATATTCACATTCACATTTACAGTTAATTAATTGTCTACACACGAATAGCGTGTCTGGGTGGCGGGTGGGTGGGGCAGGGTATCAGGGGACCCCAGCTGCACGAAAACTGTGGTCTCTGGGGGCGCCGCTACACATTAAAGCGCTCCGTCAAGTTGGTTGTAAACATGGCAGGGTATTTGGATGGGGTTGGCGGTGGGTCGGGAGTGGGGGGTGGGGGGGGGGTCCATCAAACATCGTGGTGTCTGTCGTCTACATCAATGTGTGGGTGTGGGGAGAGGGGGGTTGGGATTTCGTGTACACTGCTAAAAGCACTTTAAAAGTGCTACACTAGAACTGGTTAACCTCCACATGCTACCCTAAATGTGCTACCTTAATCATGCTACCTAAGGCTGGCTGTCTTATGTTCGCTACTTTAAAAATGATACCTTAGAATTGCTACCTTGAGCTCATGAACATAGACGTCAACTTTATATGTAAAAACTTAACGTGCTACTCTAGCACTCTAAGCAAGTTTATCTAACAGCTATCTTAGACAGCTACTCGTGTAATGCTACCATTGATTCACGCCAAGATGTACTAACGATGATAATCCTAACGACGATAATCCTTACGATGATAATCCTAACGATGATAATCCTAACGATGATAATCCTAACGATGATAATCCTAACGATGATAATCCTAACGATGATAATCCTAACGGCTCTTGAAATTTCTTTCCTGTCCCCAGCCCCCCGCCCCCTCAATAGAACCTCATGAAACTCGTGGTTTTAAAACTACTCTCATCGAACTGTTCATACCTGCGATTGGTGAATGTAAAACATGCTCATCAGGCAAACATCACTCACTGCTGAACTAATATCTAGCCCAGGGACAGATGGTGATCAGTGTGTACCCTCAGTTTGTGAGTGAGGCAAACTCTGACACTAGGGAGATATAAGACATCAAGGTACAGTCCCACAAGAGGGAGAATGAGGACACCCGGACACACTTCTACATTAGGGAGAATTAGGACATCAGACAGTCTTACAATAGGGAGAATTAGGACATCAAGATACAGTCCTACAATAGGGAGAATTAGGACATCAAGGTACAGTCCTACAATAGGGAGAATTAGGACATCAAGATACAGTCCTAAAATAGGGAGAATTAGGACATCAAGGTACAGTCCTACAATAGGGAGAATTAGGACATCAAGGTACAGTCCTAAAATAGGGAGGACATCAGGACACAGTCCTACAATAGGGAGAATTAGGACATCATGGTACAGTCCCACAAGAGGGAGGACATCAGGACACAGTCCTACAATAGGGAGAATTAGGACATCAGGACACAGTCCTACAATATAAGAATTAAACATTTTGTGATCACTGTAGACTCACAGAGAGGCGGGATAACCAGTTTCCGTCAACAAGACTGGGTTCAAGTCTCATTCAGGGCATAATGTTTTTTTAATCCGATCATTAAAGCTAGTTACCTTATTTCCAACATATACTGCACCAGATTAACAGTGAATATGGTTTTATCTTTTAATGCACCAAGTCAGAGCACTAAAGTTAAGGTGTCCTCTTATGTCCTATTCTGCACCATTCATTGCACAAAAGTCCTATCGTCAGCATTTTAAATGTGTCGCATCATTTTTCCACATCATTTAATTAACTGATTAAAACGATCACCGTTTTCAAGTAGCCCTAATTACCATTCATTTTAAATTAGTTTCTCAGACGTAGTGTTAAATCGCTTTATAATTAATGAAAAGATTTCTATTTACAAAACACGAAAAAGCCGCACGAAAAATTCTTCCGACGGCCGAAATATCAATCTACTAAAATAGCTCAAATCTGTTTTTTTGTCATTGAACCGAACAAGCCACGGACGGAACAGGCCATTAGCCTGCACATTGGTGCGCATTGATTTGCCTCGCATCGACGCACCACAGACACGCGTATAAATAATGCGCCAATTGGCGAATGAATATCACAAAATATAGCACTTAATGTTCGCCGCATACGTCCGGGAAAGGTGGGCGAAAAAAAATAGATTAATGATAGAACAATTAACAAATTAGCCAGGTTTAACTTTTTATTAAAATAATATGCCACTAACACAACGAAAATAGCTTAAAGTCCATTCATTGTATGAGATTTAAGATACAGAGAGTAGGGACAAGAAAATTATAATTAATGTTGGTACTTTAATTAATATGATAAACCATAAATATAATTCAAAGAATATTCGAAAATGTACTTTTAAAAAGTCTCTGAGTATAGTTAGCTTTTTTTTTTTGTTAAAAAATAAAAAAATTCAAAATAGTAATAACATCATTTTTGTAAATGTTTACAAAGATTTTGTTTACAATGTTAATTTAAATTATTTTCTTAACTCATTGTCCGTAAAAGTGATAATCTTACAAAAAATTTAATTTCTTTTTTGTTTGTTAATCTATAAAGCTAAAGTTGTCTAAAGTTAATCAAAAGAAAAACGAAATCTCCATCAAAAGCGACTAATCTAAAAACAATACGAACAAGTCTTACCTAAAATTTGAATAAAAATCCTAAGAGTTCTTCTAGTTGTTTCAAAAAGTTTTAAAATTCAGGTCTTGAAACTATCCCCCGGCGTTTTCAAGTTTCACAAAAGTTCTCGTCAAATCTCGTCCTACCAACTTCTCGGTGCTTGATCTAAGAATTCGGCCCAATCTCGCTCGCACTACTGTGTAATTATATTTATATAGCCGCGCCCGCCGCCTACGCTAGAAAGATTAACCACAGAACTCCTACAGCTGAAAAGTTTTACACTCTCTTCTTACTTACAACAACTCCAAAAGCGTTAATATCGAACTATTTTCCTACACTCCCCGGCGCGCGCATGCGTGGTAGCCGTACGCGTGACGTCACGGCGAGTGATCAATCCCAGCCATGGAGAGGCTTAGTCCGCGTGTGTTACGCTGTTGATGATTGGCCGACGACAAAATGGTCTCCGTTTTCGTGGAGCGGTGAAGCAAATTATGTTTCAATCACGACGGTTAGGGTTGCTCAATGGTGACATATGGGCATGCACCGGCCAACTCATGCACCTAATTAGCAATATCCGGAGAAACTAATTTGACTAAGTTTTAATAATCAGTGGTTTCCTTGTCATGTATTAAGTGGTGAAATATTTGAGCCCTCAAACTTCATGATGTGATGTAATTTCAACGTCCCCAATATTTTTTGTAACGAAACATAATTGCCCCAAATTTAGTGGGATGTAATCTTAACGCTGCCTATATTTTGTGTGATGTGCTCTCATCGGCAGAAACTTTAACACACCAAACTTGGTGTGATGTAATCTTGCCACCCCCAAAAGCTAGCGTGAGGTAATCGTCTCGACTATGGGACGGCGTGGTCGATTCGTTAGCTCGAGGTCGGCGATGCTTCAAGAAATAACTGCCTGCCCCCCTCCCACCTCCCTAAAAACGAAATGGGAAAAATATATAATTTTTACAGGAAACATATTCCGACATACAAACATATCATTAAAAAAATGAATAAAATGTATGATTAGTATAGTATAGATAATATATTCCGAGATATGTCATGTTATTAACACATACCTGCGTGTAATATCCAACAATGTTAAGCACTCATTTACCCTCACAATATTAGCCATGTAATTCGTGTGTTTAATTAGACGTAAAATTTAGACAAAACTATCATACCGAGATATATTGTAGGCATACTAATCAATAAAAACAATATTCAGCATGAGAATCGAGAATTTAAAAATATACGATATCATTATTAATATTGTACTGAACAAAAAAAATGTAACTAATATGTAATAATCCCGGTATGTGGTTGGAATTAATTAAATAACTTGGCGATGCTCAGTAATATATATATATATATATATATATATATATATATATATATATATATATATATATATATATATATATATATATATATATATATATATATATATGCAAGCGTGCCCATTCCCGCGTGCTGGCGCGGGAATAATCGAAAGTCCGTGGATAGGGCAAATCGTACCCTGCTGGGGCGCGGTCAGACGCGCATGATTCAGTTTAGTGAACGACTATAATACTATTTCTTATCCATATTCTATCACACTCTTTAAAACGGACGTATGCACCATATATTAACCGCGATAGCCAGGGGCGCCAAAATGCACCCTTTAGGTCGCCGGCGAACGCTCCTGATTGAATTTAGTGAACGACTAAACGCCCCATCTTATCCATAGTGTATCGCACTGTTTCAAAAGAACGTAGGCGCTATTGGGCTGGTAAGTAGGTCAATAAACAGTTCTACGGCTCAATAAAACCTGCATGAGCCATATAACTGTTTATTGACCTACTTACCAGCCCTACAGTGCTCAAATGATAACGTGTTGACAGAAAACATATTTTTCAGAAAAAATTGAATGTTTTAATATTTTAAAACTATAAATAACCTACTTCACATATCTAGTCCGCAACATGCGATACCAGTATGATAATACAAACACGAGTGTTATAAAATCACAATACCTTCATTAGGTCTATAAACATTACTCTAGTTCTTCTATGCCCATGTCAGCGTACAATACCTTCATTAGTTCTATACACATTACTCTAGTTATTCTATGCCCATATCAGCGTACAATACCTTCATTAGTTCTATACACATTACTCTAGTTCTTCTATGTCCATATCAGCGTACAATACCTTCATTAGTTCTATACACATTACTCTAGTTCTTCTATGTCCATATCAGCGTACAATACCTTCATTAGTTCTATATACATTACTCTAGTTCTTCTATGTCCATGTCAGCGTACAATACCTTCATTAGTTCTATATACATTACTCTAGTTCTTCTATGTCCATATCAGCGTACAATACCTTCATTAGTTCTATATACATTACTCTAGTTCTTCTATGCCCATGTCAGCGTACAATACCTTCATTAGTTCTATATACATTACTCTAGTTCTTCTATGTCCATATCAGCGTACAGTCCTGATCACCCGCAGCCTGGGGTTTGAATCCAGTTGACACATTCACAACTACACACACCAGTTGACACATTCACAACTACACACACCAGTTGACACATTCACAACTACACACACCAGTTGACACATTCACAACTACACACACCAGTTGACACATTCACAACTACACACACCAGTTGACACATTCACAACTACACACACCAGTTGACACATTCACAACTACACACACCAGTTGACCCAGTCACAACTACACACACCAGTTGACACATTCACAACTACACACACCAGTTGACACATTCACAACTACACACACCAGTTGACACATTCACAACTACACACACCAGTTGACACATTCACAACTACACACACCAGTTGACACATTCACAACTACACACACCAGTTGACACATTCACAACTACACACACCAGTTGACACATTCACAACTACACACACCAGTTGACACATTCACAACTACACACAGAGGTCACATGACGTGGGAAACACGGGGAAACATTGCTCACGGAAGAGCACACAAATAATATCAACAGTTGCGGTGCCACAGGGGCCGCAACCACATAAGTCGCCCCCCACCCCCTCCCGGCTGGTAACACATGATATGTGTTAGATAATATTTGTGAAATAAATACAAAATGACTTCCGGTTTTATTAAGGCTAGAAATATTGAAACTAATAATTACTAGTAATGTTATCGTATTCAGCCAACAATTATTTTTAAAACGTTTTTCTTAACTCAGCTTCGCGTTTGTTTGTTTGTTTGGTTGTTTGGATGTTTGTTGTTAAAATTGACATCGAAAATTAGCCCACTTCTGATTGCTCTAGAGACCTGAAATTTGGCATGCATGCTACTTTCGCCTAACAATTTCAGATGCAATCATAAAAACTAGCAATTAGTGACCGTAATTAGCTTAATTTAATTACGCCCCAAGGACCATAAAATTGAGGACATGATTTCTAAAGATACCGACAAGACTGGAGGCCTATTGTCACAGTTACTTCGGCCCCAATCGATGTGAGCGCGCTGGCCGTGATCGTATAGTGGTTAGTACTTCGCGTTGTGGCCGCGACAACCCAGGTTCGAATCCTGGTCGCTCAAGATTTTTAGTCCGTGTATTTATAAACACTTTTTTAAAAACCACGTTTTTCATGTGTAGCAACGGACTAAAAAGGAGAAAATAAAATACTTAAAAAAAACTTTTTAAAAAACCACGTTTTTTATGTGAAGCAACGGACTAAAAAGGAGAACGGACACGGTAACACATTGTTAACGGTGACACGGTTGGTACGCTGGGCATGCTAAAATACACATAAACACGTTTTTCCTTAACTCAGCTTCGCGTTTATTTGTTTGTTTATGGGAGATTTGATCACGTGATTCGTGAGTAGATCTCCACGCCAGCAACGTAAATTACACCCTTTCTCTGTTTAAAGCGTATCGGTCGCTCAAGATTTTTTTAGTCCGTGTATTTAAAAACACTTAGTCAAGTCATACTTAATCAAGTGATTAGATAAAGTAGAAAATAAACTATATAAAAAACTTTTTAAAAACCACGTTTTTCATGTGTAGCAACGGACTAAAAAGGAGAAAATAAAATACTTAAAAAAAACTTTTTAAAAAACCACGTTTTTCTTGTGGACTAAAAAGTAGAAAATAACTATTTACATACATTTGATGACAAAAAACGTGGGTCGGGCAGATGGGTCGGGAAATTTGATGGTGAACGTACCCACGTTTTTTGTCATCAAATGTATGTAAATAGTTATTTTCTACTTTTTAGTCCACAAGAAAAACGTGGTTTTTTAAAAAGTTTTTTTTAAGTATTTTATTTTAAATTTGGATTAGTAGAGCCAGTGTGTTGTAGTGATTGGGGATCTCATATCTTTTATTATTATTAGTAAACTAATAGGCTATTCCCCATTGACCACTATTGTGTATTTTATAATGGAAAACAATTGTTGTGATTTTCATTGTTTTACTTTCCTGGCCGCTCCACTTCAAGGAGGGGTTGAGGACGATTTAAAAAAAAAAAATATTTGAATTTACAAAATAATTCAAAACGGCTTTTTTCAACGACTTATATTCAATACAAAATTATGTAAATGAGTGTTTTAGATGGTTCTCTAACAGTTTTAATTTTTACAATAGCCATAGTTTTAAAAAAATGTTTTGCTTATAAAGACTTTCAAGCCTGTTGTAAAATATTATCACATATCGAAAGATCTAGAATATACTTTTAAAACTACAATCTGTCGTAAAATAAAAGAACGCGACCAAAATAAACATGGTTAAAAAGAATATTTTAAATATTTTGTTAAATCTCTAAAACTTGTAGGCCTACCCCTCAATATATAACACCGATCCCTCGCCATTGAGCCCCTACTTCCAACCCTAACCCTTCAATCCCCACCCTCCAGCCCAGCCCCATCTTTCAATACTCACCCCTAGCCACCACCCTCCAATCAACAACTTCAAATCCCCAGCCCCACCCCCCCCCCCGCCCTGTTTATGCCCTTAAAGTGCTTCTAATTTCTCCATTTTTAAAACGATCGCTCCAGTTTTTCCTAAAACCACTTGAATAATTCACACGAGGTTTATTTGTTCCTTCAGATGTAACAACAACAACGGATTAAATGGTCACGTGACAACCGTAATCCTCGTCAGAGGCGAACCATCATCTACTGGCTGCAATGGTCGTGTCAGTGGAGATCTATTTTTATAAAGATGAGGTGAACTATGGTAAAATTCTTCTTGTTGTGAGTGAAGTTCTGATTGTTTACGTGGTGATAGTGCTAATGATATCCTAGATTTGTACACATATATCGTGCTGGCTGTAATGATGCCCTACATTTGTACATATATTATGTGTGGTCCTTATGATGTCCTACATTTGTAAATACATTCACACACATGTTTATATGTGTATATGTACATACATTCGTACATGTATATATATATATATATATATATATATATATATATATATATATATATATATATATATATATATATATATATATATATATATATATATCCCTAATGAAATCCTCCATTTTTCTTCATATATATAGTGGTGATTGGTAATAATATCCTACATGATTCTAAGATGTCTTACTTTTGTACATGCGGTGTAGATGAGTTAGAGTTTATTGTTACTTATATTAACGTCAGTCCTTTAAAAGATGTAATCCCAAGATATTATTGCAGTATTGAAAGGAATGAATGCTGTTTTTATTTTATTCTAAACACCCTCCAGCAGACACATCTACACACTAAAACCAGAGCAGCAGTATGCGATGTATTAACTGTAAACACAATCGACATAGCCATCCCAAGCTCCCATGTAGAGGCTAAGCTATGTAAACAAACACAAGCTCTGTTGAGTCATCACTGGGACCACGTTACTACACCTTGCCTTATTGTATTAAAACAATCTTTAGACTTACATAAAATGATTTGTTCAACATTCAACCAGATTTAACGTTCTAATTTAACCCGCATATAGCGTTGTTATTGAAGATGCACTTTACTGCGGAATTTTAAAACTTTTCGAACGGCCAAAAATAACAAAAAATAAGTATCTAATAAAAGCTTGTAAAATAAACATGTGTTCCTTTCTATATAGTGTACAGATAAAGAATAAAAGATGTAATATTGTAAACATTTCGTTAAACTTAAAATGTAAAATATACTTCAGTATTAAAGTGTTTTTTTTTTTATTTATTGTCTAAATATGGGGTAGATTCTCGTAGCAAAGGGAAATAACCCATTTAATATTTTAAAACGTAGACTGTTTGATTTGTCGGCCTTTGTTGTTGTGTTTTCATTTCTATACATTATACTTCGCTTAATTTTAATACGAGTGTTGTGTTAGGTAATTTGAAATAAATATAAAAGTACTGGGTCGAGTTAAAGCAAAATACAATACTCTTGTTAGGTCTTTTTGTCGACGTCAATTTTTAAAGTGACGCCGGTTGTTTTTTTTTATTTTTCAATTGTGATGCTGTAAATGTATCGAGAAGCTGTTATTACTGTTTTAAAAGATTGATTCTAGTGGCAAATGACTTGACCTGCATCTAATTCAATGTTCGTCACATCACACTAGACCTGCATCTAATTAACTATCATTAATTAAAACAGTTGATTAAATCCCACACTACTCATGGCTGCCATAATATTCGACCTACATAAACGTCTGACGTGCAGGTACTGCCATGATACATACACCATTGACAGACTCTTGAGATTACACAGGCCATATTGCTATTTGACTGGTTTGAATAAAAAAAAAGGGTTCCTATATAAGACCTAACGAAGGTCGGATGAAGTATAGTTCATATGTTTTTTCAAACTCAGCATATGAAGGGATGGCGTGGTCAAAAACTCTGCACGGCCACCTTTATTTGCCTAACATGAGTCAGGTACCAACCCCAGCTGGGTGGACTCAGGGACGTCTTACAGACTCATGCCCGGAACGAGATCCGAACTCGAGACTATCGGGTTAGCTTTCCTACCAAACTACACCGTCAGTTGAATTGTTAAAGCGTATTACGTTCACCACGTATTCGATACACTGAAATATGTTAACAAACACGTGAAGAAAAAGTTCAAGATAAAAGACAGATTTAAAATAAAACACCAAAGACAGATCAGCTGTTCTTTTCATGATGTTTGTTTTAGTGACGTCTAAATTTTAAAACTTGATCTTCGTTGACCCGTGGGTCAGGTCGTGGACGAGGAACCTCCCCCCACTGGTGCAGGGGGAGGAGGAGGTCAGGCCGATGACCACAGTGGTGCCAGCTGTTGTGTTACAGTAGACTGGAGCTCCAAGGTCGCCAGTCTGTGGAGGACAGGGTCAAGGTTATAGGGTCAATGTTACAGAGTAGAGGTTTTATTGTCAATGGTTACAGTGTCAAGGCTACATTGTCAAAGTCACGATGTCAAGGTTTCGGTATCAAGGTTTCGGTGTCAAGGTTACAGTGTCAAGGTTACAGTGTCAAGGTTACAGTGTCAAGGTTACAGTGTCAAGGTTACAGTGTCGAGGTTACAGTGTCAAGGTTACAGTGTCAAGGTTACAGTGTCAAGTTTAATGAACTTTTAATATAGGTTATATAGGTAAGGTATCTAGGCACGAAACGCGCCACTAAGTCTACATTTTAAAAAATTCTATTCTATTCCATGGGGCATGTTTCTAGATTATGTAACGAGTTGACCAATACTCACAAACAAAATGTTAACTAACCACAATCAGTATTTTTAACAAATGCCAGTCACACTACACACAAATGCTATATAACCTCCCCCACACACATGGTATTTAACCCCCGTAACACGTTATTTTTGCCCCCCCCCCCATGCTACCTAACCTCACACACATAATGCTACCTAGCCTCCCTCCATACACACCCAAATGCTATCTTACCGCACACACGCATACACATGTTACCTAACCCCCATACATCCTCCCATACACATGTAAACTAACTCACCACACACACACACAAGTTGCCCTACCCCCTCTCACCCACACGCAACTATGACGTTACCCCGCAAGTTGCCCCGTTAGCAGTGACACAGTTAAACTCTGCCGTCCGGTCGATGATGACGCCCTTCTGGTCCTGGGTTAGGTTGTCAAGGATGACGTCACAGCACGGACTGCTGGTGCTTGCCAAGACTGACGTCACTTGAGCGACGCCGTCGTATGTTTCTGAAAATATGGTCTCAAGATGGTCTCAAGATGGTCTCAAGATGGTCTCAGATTCATTACATGGGGATGTGACAAGCTCAATCTTAAAATATACGTACATCTTTTTGCGTTTAATTAATGAATATCAACCTAATTGACTGCATGTCTATGTCACTCACTACAAGACTGTATGACTCTATCACTTACCAGAAGACTGCATGTCTATGTCACTTACTAGAAGACTGCATTTCTATGTCACTTACAACAAGACTGCATGTCTATGTCACTTACAACAAGACTGCATGTCTATGTCACTTACTTGAAGACTGCATGTCTATGTCACTTACTTGAAGACTGCATGTCTATGTCACTTACTTGAAGACTGCATGTCTATGTCACTTACCAGAAGACTGTATGTCTATGTCACTTACTTGAAGACTGCATGTCTATGTCACTTGAAGACTGCATGTATATGTCACTTACAAGAAGACTGTATGTCTATGTCACTTACCAGAAGACTGCATGTCTATGTCACTTACTTGACGACTGCATGTCTATGTCACTTAATTGAAGACTGTATGTCTATGTCACTTACTACAAGACTGCATGTCTATGTCACTTACTACAAGACTGCATGTCTATGTCACTTACTTGAAGACTGCATGTCTATGTCACTTACTTGAAGACTGCATGTCTATGTCACTTGACGACTGCATGTCTATGTCACTTACCAGAAGACTGTATGTCTATGTCACTTACTTGAAGACTGCATGTATATGTCACTTACAAGAAGACTGTATGTCTATGTCACTTACCAGAAGACTGCATGTCTATGTCACTTACTTGATGACTGCATGTCTATGTCGCTTACTAGAAGACTGCATGTCTATGTCACTTACTTGACGACTGCATGTCTATGTCACTTAATTGAAGACTGTATGTCTATGTCACTTACTACAAGACTGCATGTCTATGTCACTTACTACAAGACTGCATGTCTATGTCACTTACTTGAAGACTGCATGTCTATGTCACTTACTTGAAGACTGCATGTTTATGTCACTTACTTGACGACTGCATGTCTGTCACTTACTTGACGACTGGGTATCGGCGCCGTAGCCCACCACCTCACATGAAGTTTTATCAATGTCCGAGAGTCCATCGTACACAACGGCGTCACCGTTACAGCCGCCGGTAAACGTGGAGGTGTCAAAGGTGTAGACGCCATCAGAGACGGCTCCTTAGAGAAGATATGTGGGACTTGTTCAAGGCTACTGTGTTGGGTAGATCAGGGCTCGTCCGCAATGAACAGCAATGTTAACTACTATCTTACACAGTGTGTCCCCTCTACTATTGTTACATTTCATTAAAAAAATAAAAAAATAAAACCAAAGCCACAACCCCAAAAATGTTGATTGAAAATTTAAATATAAAATATACTTTAATTCCCATTTATCAACCACCTTAAAATCCTTACATAGTGATAATTAGAAAATCCCCCCCCCCCCTCTCACATACACGCCATCTCCCTTCTTTTAACCAAACTATGTTCTCACATACAATCAGCTTGTAATATAAAGTTTTAAACTCTTATTATCACGTTTAATATATTAATGAAAGTGTTTGCACTTTTAACCCCTAAGCCTGTCAAACCCTACCTTTAGTTCCTTGTGTCAGTGTAAAATTTGTTGTGCTTTCTCCACAGATAACAGTGAGATCACTAGAAACAGACAAAATTAGGGGATATGATAATGACAATACAATACTAGTGAACTAGTAATACTACAAATATAGAGGTTGGAACAACTTTTTTTTCTACGCAGCACAGATAGTGCTGAGACGATTCGGTCGGACATATCATTCTTTAACGCTTGAAAATCTATAAAAGTGAAAAGCGCCAACAAAGTACTGGAATAGAAACATCCTACGTACGCTGAACACACACAACTTAAGTTTTAGTCTTGGGTGTTATCACTGCCTGCACCAATCTTTCTTGTTCGGCTCTGTCAGTTACTAATTGGACTCATTCATTTACTAATTGGGCTCTTTCACTGACTTAGTTTAATATGTCAATCACTTGTGGGGCTGTGTCAGTTACTGATTGGGCTCTTTCACTAATTGAACTATGTCAGTTACTAATTGAACTCTTTCACTAATTGAACTGTGTCAGTTACTAATTGAACTCTTTCACTAATTGAACTGTGTCAGTTACTAATTGGGCTCTTTCACTAATTGAACTCTTTCACTAATTGAACTGTGTCAGTTACTAATTGGGCTCTTTCACTAATTGAACTCATTCACTAATTGAACTGTGTCAGTTACTAAAGGACCCTTTCACTAATTGAACTGTGTCAGTTACCTGTTGAGCCCTGCCACTTACTTGTTGTCCAGGAAATTGTTCATGCCAGACCCGCACAACTCTGGCACCGACAGTAGACCTCCTATCTTGACCCCGTTACAGATGATAGCGTCATTGGGTGCCAGGACCACACACAGACCTGGGTAGCTGCACTCATCGACTGGAGCACCGTCTGGAGGAGAGAAACAAGAGATGGCCCAGTTAGAATGATTGGTTGGTGGAGAGGTGAATGGTAAGTAAACATAGGTAACCACTGGCGGCAATTATAGAGGCGGGCTTAGAATTTACTTGCCTGGATAAATCATGTCGAAGGCTAACCTAACAAGTAACCCTCAACCACAAACACACACTACAATCTAACCTAACCAATAACCATTAACCACAAACCCACACTACAATTTAACCTAACCAATAAAAAGTAGCCACAAACCCACACTACAAGTTAGCCTAACCAGTAACCCTCAACCACAAACCCACAATACAACCTAACCTAACCAATAACCATTAACCACAAACCCACACTACAATTTAACCTAACCAATAAAAAGTAGCCACAAACCCACACTACAAGTTAGCCTAACCAGTAACCCTCAACCACAAACCCACAATACAACCTAACCTAACCAATAACTCTCAATCCTGCCTTATTTTCCCGAACACATATGTTTCCCCAAAACTTTGGTAACACGAAGAGTTTCAGCTAACGAAATTTCATCTCATTTGACCATTGTCATCAGAGCACTAAGAACAACTAAGTTCGTTTAACTAAAACAAAAAACTTCAAAATAAAAACAGCTACACTCTTACAATAGCTAAACCTTATATATTTTTGAACCACTGTTAAATCACATTCTACAACACTGAGCATTGTATATGTTGCAATTTATTTTTATTTGGTGGCGAAAACGCATGAATTATATATTGTGACACGATTTATTGAAATAAACAAGACTCACAATTCTTAAACTGAAGCTTTTATCACTTCTCTCTCACAACTTTCCCTGTTTGTAAGAATACCATCTTAATGATATATACGCATTGGCGATAAGTATGTTCAATTTTTTCCGCGCGTTGAATGATTCATAAAATGTAAAATAATTTTTTAAAATACTTTTGCAGCACTAGAGATAGTGTCAGACAGCAGTTTAACAGAGAGGAAAAAAATAAAATGTTATACTTGCCTTTGATGGAATATACTTGCGTCAGAAGTAGTGAAAAGATCAAAATCAACATTTTCTGGCGAAGTCGGCTGCTCAACTTTGAGGCTTTTCAAAACTTAAATTTCTATTTTCGTTTCTAGTCGACGTGTTCAAAGAGGGTGGAGTGGAGAAGTACGTCATCGAATTTTGCGTAGATAGTCCTATAAAAACTTGTTTATCGAAAGTTTATTTGTGAATCCATGACTGACGTATGTGTTTGGTAAGACAAAGGTATTGATTGGCCGCACGTGCTTGAAGCTGTGTCTGCTGACGGCCACCATGTTGGCTAATCGTGACGGCTGTAAGAAAAATTGTGACCAAACAAGAAAATAGTGTAGAGAAATTTGGCTTGATGTCAGTTCTAGGTGATGTTATCGTTTGAGCAGATAGTGCTTTAACTCTATGCAGTCCACCGGCCAAGTTTTCAGTAACTTTAAAATATTAACTGAAGCAATATTTAACTTATTTGGCTAAATGTTAAGTCTATTAGTGCCCAAAAAATGTATATGGCGCTGAATATTTCAGCGATCTCATATAACTGTAATTCCCCCTTCCCCCCCCCCTGAATATAAACACGCACACTAAAAGTACGTCGCCCCCATTGCTATATAATAAAAACATTCAACACATGATACTCATAAATATCCAGGAATTCAAAAATTAATTTTGGATAATATTTCAACCATGGGACAGCTTGACCTACCTAATTCTCGAGTTCGAATCCTGGTTCAAGTTAATAGAACGTCCCTGAGTCCACCCAGCTCTGATGGGTACCAAACTCACGTTAGTGAGAGTACAAGCTGCTGTGCATATTGCTGACCACACTATTATCTCATATGCCGAGTCACATATCAGGTGAACTCTACTTCAATTGCCGAATGGAACTTTACCTAATATTTTAACCAGATATATACAATCTTTATTACCCTACTTTACAATATCTACGCAGTGAATTTGTTTAAAGAGAAGATGCACAAGCCAGTAGTAGTACAGTAAAAAATATCTTTTAGCGCCCTAAGACCTTTGGTGAGTGGCGAGCCATCGATGCTAGTGTCCAGTTCCCGTAGGTTTAAAACCAAATCTGGCCCTACAGGGGTTAAAATATCACTTCTATTTTTATCACAGTGTTTACATACTGGGGCCAGGGATTAAAAGACTCCCCCTCCCCCTGGGGCCACCTGTCCAGCAAGTGACGTCGCGGTAACACCTGCCTCACTCATCTAATCAAACAAAACCTACCTACAATCATTTTGTTTCGTTTGGAGAAACAAGTCACACTTTTCATAAAACAAATTGTCTACTCCATGTTTTTAAATTGTCTGGACTAAGGACCACACGAGTACAATCAGGACACAAACAGTTCATCAGTCCATCGGTCTAAGGTAAGTCACCCGGTCATCCATAGCTATAAGGTTTGTTCCAACTGCCATCCACAGGTCTAAGGTAAGTCATTTACAGGTATAAAGGTAAGTCATACCTGACATTCACAGGTCTGTCCTACATGTCATCTGCAAGTCTAGGGTAAGTCCCACCTACATGTCTATGTTAAATCCATCCTTCCATCCTACCATCCTTCCATCCTACCATCCCAATTTCCAAGGCAAGTACGATCCACAAATATATCCAGTCTAAGTTTACGTTTATATTAGAGATAAATAATAATTTAAGTTTATATTAGTTAAAAGATAATTTATTTTATGTTAGAGTTAAATGATAATTTAAGTTTATGTTTAGAATTATATGATAATTTCAAAAACAACCAAACGGATCTGTGTAAATTTTGCTAAATAGAATTTTAAAAAAATCTCAACGGGATTTGTTTTAAATTCATGAGTTAAATTGTATACAGACCAAGACTTGAGGTTTAGGGGTGATAGTTCAGTTATTTGACTGTTTTTGAGTAGGCTATTTAAACGTAATCTTAAACGACATTTTAACCTTTCTAGTAAGGTTTGTATTTAGGTTGACATTAAATCTATTAAATAAAGCTATTAAATGCGGTAGTATTGCTACTGAAAATAGAACTTATTTTAAAAAAATAATTTAATGTTCAGCTACTTTGCCACAAGAGCTATAAAAATAAAAGAAATATCTGTAGATTAAATGAAAGCTTTTTAAATAAAATGTAACAGAACTTAGTCGGGTGGTAGAGTGCATGGCTACAAGCCAAACGTCTCGAGTTTGGCTCAGCAGTTAGACGTTATGACCAGTGTTTCTCCCCCCCCCCCTCCCCGAAGAGATGCCTGGAAGAAACTCTGGTTATGACGTCACTGAGCTCCTTCGGCTCTGGTGGGTATCCGGAGCTTTAGTCTATAGAGCGTCGCTGAGCTCGCCTAGCTAAATTAGATACCTGACCCTAGTCGAGTAAGTAAAGGCAGCTGAATCTGCTGAGGTCATTGCAAGAACAATTCTAGCCTCTATTTGACTTGAACCCGACCACTGGCAGACAAAATCCCTGTGGTACCTTGTATACGAACCATCACGACGACACACATATGATACCCATTGATATTCTAACCAACGACCACCCTCCTCCTAAATCGTTGTCTTTTTCACACGTAACCTGTCTCCCTAGCCCACAAAAACCTTGTGAAATGATGGCCGCCAAACTTGCCTTGATCTGTTTTTGTCAACTTTTTAACTTTTCTCCCCAGCCCACAAAAACTTTGTCAAATGATGGCCAAACTTGCCTTGATCTGTTTTTTGTCAACTTTTCAACTTCTCTCTCTAGCCCACAAAAACTTTGTGAAATGATGGCCGCCAAACTTGCCTTGATCTGTTTATGTCTACTCTTTACCTCCGTACTGGGAGATGACGCCATTTGCTGCGGGGCCGTACCCGGTTGTAACATCACAGGTAGGTTATAGTCTAGTTACTGGTTTTATCAGGTAGGTTATCGTTTAACTAATTATTGGTTTTAAAAGGCAGGTTATCGTTTCGCCAAGATGGAGAAGTAACTATAAAAGTAATGTTTATTTTCTTTTTCGAACCTAACGGTCCATGTACAAGTGAAGTAGGGTTCATCTGTTTCTGTGACCTCGGCATATGAAGGGTTAGTGTGGTCAGCACTATGCCCAACCTCTTTTACATTCCCTATCGCGAGTTGCGTACCCATCAGAGCTGGGTTGACTCATGGAGGTTCTACTGACTTGCGCCCGGATTCAAACTCGAGATTTCCGGGTAGCAGTCTAGCGCTCTACCGCTATGCCACGCCGTTGTATTGTGAATACAGGGGATCTTATTAACTTCTGTAGTAGTTTAGAAATTAGCTTTTATCTGCATTAATCTATATTCAAGTTAATTAGCCGTGTTTATATTTGAAGTTAGGCTTAGTAAAACAAAAAAAAGCTCGTATTTAGATTTAGCGACCCAATGTCCCGGTGAGGAAGAGTTCATCTATTTCTATGACCTCGGCTTGTAAATGGATTCTTTGGTCAGCATTTTGCCCAGCCGCCTTTACTTTCCCTAACATGAATGAGATACCGATCAGAGCTGTGTGGACAGGGAGGTTCTACTGTCTTGGACCCGGTTTCGAACTCGAGACTTAAGGGTTAGCAGCCTACCGCTCTACATCCTAGGCCACGATCTAAAGACTAAATTTTACTGATAATGTAGCAATCAGTAGGTTAATAGAACAGCTATTAAAGAAAAGTAACTCTGGTTTACTCCCCCCCCCTCCCCCCAGCGAGCAGCGAATGTGTGTGTCAGGGTGTGAGGTCATCCCTACAGTGCTCCGCCCTCGTCCTGAGAGAGCGGCTAAAGACCTACAGCACCGGCGGGTTCCTGAAGGAGGCGTTAGACGAGGTGGCCAACAGGACCTCGGCCCTCAAGGGCGGCACCAGGCCGGTCAAATGGCTCCAGAAAATACCGGACTTCTCCAAGACACCGCTCAACCGGAAACGCCGTCAAACGGAGACGTGGGAGGCGGACCCCGCCTGCTGTGATGGCACCAATATGGACGGCTTGATCTACGGCTGCAGCTTTCAAGGTCAGTGCACGTTAGATTTCAAGGTCAATACACATTTCGTTTCAAGATTAGTTTAAAAAAAATTTTTTATTAATTATTAAATGAATTTCATTAATTATTTCGTTGTGTTTAATTATAGATGACTTACCCATAGACTGTACACATTAAAGCATATATTTGGTTGTCAAAGAGACTTAATTTGTATATATTAAAAATGTATCGAAGCTTACATTAATATGGCAGCTTTTAATTTAGATGTAGACCATTGATTTTATTTACACATGATAGACAATATGTCTTTAAACATGGATGCACAATACATTTTTATTTTTCTAAAACTTGTGAGTTTCGCATGTAGTTATTATCAAAACACGCATCACATATTCATATGTTTTATATGTTGTTACACATTATACAAAGAAAGTATTTTAATTTTCATGGTTCGTATTTTTCGTACATTAAAATATTTTGCGTAACCGTATTAAATGTAGATATACAAAACCAAGAAAGTCTCTTACAACTCACATTCTCTCCCCCTCCCCCAGCCAACGTCTGCCTGTGCCCCACGGCCGAGAGGACGAGTCTGGCATCCTGTGAGCTGGTGCCCACAGCCGCCCCCGCCACCACCACCACAACGACAACCACGCTGGCCCCCGCATCTACAACATTCCTGGCCAAAAGCTCGTGCTGTGACCCCTTGAGCAGCGATTACGTCACTGGTCACTACTACTGTTCCTGGAATAGCAGTCAGTATACTTTTCTAAACTCTGCTCATTGTATCTTCTTTATTATGTTTACATATTATGTAGATAGCGCAATAACAGACAGTTTACGTTTCTTTTATCTGTGGAAATAATCATGATTAACCACACTCACATATATATGTGTGTATACCGACGACTTTCTGAGAACCTTGCTATATTTACCCTAACCTTAACCCCCCCCCCTTGTGTGCAGACAACGACTGTCTCAGAACCTTGCTATATTTACCCTTACCCTAACACCCCTACCCCCACCCCTCTTATGTGCAGACGAATGTCTCAGAACCTTGCTATATTTACCCTAACCCCCCCCCCTTGTGTGCAGAGAATGACTGTCTCAGAACCTTGCTATATTTACCCTAACTCTACCCCCCCCCCCCACTTGTATGCAGACAACGAGTGTCTCAGAACCTTGCTATATTTACCCTAACCCCGCCCCCCCCCCTTATGTGCAGACAACGACTGTCTCAGAACCTTGCTATATTTACCCTAATCCTAACCCCGCCCCCCCCCCTTGTGTGCAGATAACGACTGTCTCAGAACCTTGCTGTATTTACCCTAATCCTAACCCCGCCCCCCCCCCCCTTATGTGCAGACGACTGTCTCAGAACCTTGCTATATTTGCCCTAACCCTAACACCCCTACCCCACTTTGTGTGCAGAGAATGAATGTCTCAGAACATTGCTATATTTACCCTAACCCCGCCCCCCCCCCCCCCCTTGTGTGCAGACAACGAGTGTGTGTGCCAGAACGTGCCTGACGTCAGCTACTGCCAGAACACAGGTGGCACCTACGAGGCTAAAGACAACTGCTGTAACGGAAATGACCTCAACGGTTTGACCTTCGGTTGCGCTTATGAAGGTCGGTGCAGATTTATACAATCGTTTTTTTTTGTGTTCATCAAACTAAATATAATATTAAACGTATTTATATTTGACTTTTTACTTACGAAAAATGCAATTAAATTAGTATATTAAGTCGAAATGTTTTAGTTTGTTATCTGATACGTGCCAGATTTGAAGGAAACATGTTCGGTAGAAGTGATCGAATAACTGATTACAAGACACTACAGAAGAGATAAAAACACAATTAATTAGAAGGTCTTAGAAACAAATATAATGTGAAGTGAAGCTAGATTCCAGATATAAAAACACAAGTCATCAATAAGATATAAGAAAATTCAAGATGTTAAAGTTATACTTTTGACGCAGTCGTCTGTCTGTAAAAAAAAAAAAAATACAATTTATATTTTGACTTCATTAATAGCGAGAAATCGATGTCTATCAAGACAATATTTAATTGCGGAGGAGAAATTAATTAAACCTTCAGCCCTGCATGTAGATGTGTTAAGAGTATGTAATCCAGATACGATATTGATACACACATACATGTATTTATGTAATTAGTTATTCTTTTATTTAAATATATGCATATATATATATATATATATACATATATATATATATATATATATATATATATATATATATATATATATATATATATATATATATGTGTGTGTGTGTGTGTATGTGTAAAACTCTCACTACATCCATTCAGGAGGTGTCTGCAAGTGTCCCTCTGAACAGCGGTCAAGTCTGCCCACCTGTGAGCTAGGCATCACCACAACGACCACCACCACCACCACGACAACAACCACCAAGCCCCCAGCGGCTCCAGCAACAACCTTCATCGGCAAGGGCTCGTGCTGTGACAGTCTGCAGAGTGACTACATCACAGGGCAGTACTACTGCGCTTGGAACGCCAGTAAGTGATGGGGGAGGGGAGGGGGTGGGAGGGGTGGGGATGGGGGGTAGAGGGTGGGGTGGGGGTAGAGCGACTACATCACAGGGCAGTACTACTGCGCTTGGAACGCCAGTAAGTGAAGGGGGGTCGGAGGGGTGGGGGTTTCACCATCATCTTCCTCTCAAACCCAACATCCTAATTTTAACATCATCTTCCTCTACGACCCACCATCCTAATTTCACCATCATCTTCCTCTAAAACCCACCATCCTAATTTCACCATCATCTTCCTCTCAAACCCAACATCCTAATTTCACCATCATCTTCCTCTAAAACCCACCATCCTATTTTCACCATCATCTTTCTCTCATACCCAACATCCTAATTTTAACATCATCTTCCTCTACGACCCACCATCCTAATTTCACCATCATCTTCCTCTAAAACCCACCATCCTAATTTCACCATCATCTTCCTATCAAACCCAACATCCTAATTTCACCATCATCTTCCTCTAAAACCCACCATCCTAATTTCACAATCATCTTCCCCTCCAACCCACCATCCTAATTTCACCATCATCTTCCTCTAAAACCCACCATCCTAATTTCACAATCATCTTCCCCTCCAACCCACCATCCTAATTTCACCATCATCTTCCTCGATCCACCCCAACATCCTAATTTCACCATCATCTTCCTCTAAAACCCACCATCCTAATTTCACCATAATCTTCCTCTATGACCCACCATCCTAATTTCACCATCATCTTCCTCTACGACCCACCATCCTAATTTCACCATCATCTTCCTCTCCAACCCACCATCCTAATTTCAACATCATCTTCGTCGATCCACCCCAACACCCCATTAACAGTTCTATCCCTACTTCAGACAACGAATGTGAATGTAAGGACGTCCCAGACGTCGCCTACTGCAAAGACGTGCAGGGCACTTTCCTGGCCAACGACAACTGCTGCAATGGGAACTACCTCAACGGTCTAACGTACGGCTGTGCTTATGAAGGTCCGTTTGTTGATGTTGTTTTTTCATGCTTCCATTTCTCTCTTATTTAAACTCTCAAAAAAGTAAACTATGAAACTAAAGTGTTTTTGTAAAACATAACAGAAAATTATTTATTTTAAATGTTGTAGCTAAATATTTAGTATTTTAAAGAAGCACGTTGGAAAATTAAGTACCAGCAGTAAAAATTGTTGGAGCCACTTGATATGTTTTTCTGTTGCGTTGTTTTACAGCCTCTGTTTGCAAGTGTCCGTCGGATTACCGATCGGACTTATCCGCCTGCGAGCTAGCCACTACAACAACTACCACCACCACTACGACACCAACTACAACAACTACTACACCAACAACTACGACCACTACACCAACCACAACAACCACTACACCAACTACCACCACTACGACACCAACTACCACAACCACTACACCAACTACTACAACAACAACACCAACTACAACAACCACTACACCAACTACCACCACTACGACACCAACTACAACAACCACTACACCAACTACTACAACACCAACTACAACAACCACTACACCAACTACTACAACTACAACACCAACTACAACAACCACTACACCAACTACAACAACCACTACACCAACTACTACAACTACAACACCAACGACAACAACTACTACACCAACCACAACAACAACTACACCAACTACTACCACTACAACACCAACCACAACAACCACTACACCAACTACCACTACAACGAAAACAACCACAACAACAACCACACCTACAACCACAACCACTACACCAACAACAACAACCACTACACCAACTACTACTACTACGAAAACAACCACAACAACAACCACACCTACAACCACAACCACTACACCAACCACAACAACCACTACACCAACTACAACAACCACTACACCAACAACAACAACAACGACGCCAACTACCACTACTACGAAACCCACCACAACAACCACAACACCAACTACCACAACCACTACACCAACCACAACCACAACCACACCAACTACAACAACCACTAAAACAACAACCACAACTCCAACTACCACAACCACAAAAACCACCACAACCACACCAACCACAACAACGACTAAATCTACCACCACCACAACTAAACCTACAACAACAACCACAAAACCAACGACAACAACAACAAAATCAACGACAACCACAACACTTCCAACAACCACAGTTGCCTATCCACTCTACAACGCCGACCCTGCTTGCTGCGACCCCAACAACCTCCCCACATTCTTCTACGCCCAAATTGCTGGCTGTATTATCGATGGAAGTAAGTTCAATCAAGTACACACTTCGCAGTATCCATTATTCCATTTATCTTTAGTCGGAACTATTCAATAATTACCATAAAAATTAGTAGTTTAAAAGTAGAAAGAATGTTGCAGGTACCCTGTTGTGTGGTAAAACTGAGACGTTATTTATAGACGATATTTTTAAATCAATAGGGTATGTAATGTGACTTTTTGCTTTCAAGCACGATACATTTATTGTATCCGATCGTTTCTGAATGTAACTGTAATGTTATGTTGTATATATGGCTCGACTCAGTATGTGATATGTAAGGTCTGATCTAGAAAGTAAATGTGTTTGTACGTGGTATGCTATGTCTGCATTTTAAAATATGTGATTTTAACTAGAGTATCAGCAATATTGTTCTGATTGCAACTAATTTAACAGCAAAATGTTAAAACTAATTAAAATAAATATGGATGCTGTTAATTAAAATGTTAATTTAAAAAAAAAAAACGTTTTCATTTCAGCAACTGGGAAGTGCATGTGCGCTGTTGGTATCGAAGACATGTGCCCTAATATTGACCTGGCCACCACAACCACAACCACCACTACAACACCAACTACAACAACCACAACACCAACTACAACAACCACTACACCAACTACAACAACCACGACACCAACTACCACAACAACACCAACTACCACAACTACTACACCAACCACAACAACAACGAAACCAACGACAACAACGACAACACCAACTACCACAACAACTAAAACTACAACCACAACACCAACCACAACAACTACAAAAACTACGACCACAACTAAACCTACAACAACTACTACAAAACTAACAACAACAACCACGAAACCAACAACCACAACAAAACCTACGACAACAACCACAAAACCAACGACAACAACAAAAACTACGACAACCACCACACTCCCAACAACCACAGTTGCCTACCCACTATACAACGCTGACCCAGCTTGCTGTGACCCCAACAACTTGCCAACGTTTTTCTACGCTCAAATCGCTGGCTGCATCATCGATGGCGGTAAGTTGTTGTGTTGTTGAGTTATCATCATAGCTACAATGTATCAAAGTTGAGTCGTTGTATTTTCTTCATAGCTACAATTTATTATCGATGACGGTAAGTTGTTGTGTTGTTGAGTTATCATCATAGCTACAATGTATCAAAGTTGCTGTGTGATTTGTGTTTATGTGTAGCGGATCTGTACACTTCTCTTTAAAACGTTAGTACAGTTCTTACGGTGTTAAGAATAACCGTCATGGTTCCCAGTTATATTATAGTTTTTTTTTTTAATAAACGTATTTTTATCATACTTTTACTATCATTTACAATCCTACACATCGTTTCAACAAGTTGACTATTCTACGTTTCACTTTGAAGTGTTTCTAATGTTTCCTATTCTTGCGTCGTTATACTTACCGTTTGTTAATGATGTCGATAATTAGTTGTGTCGTTACTAGATAGCTAAATAGAGACAGTTATTGAAATTGATCGTCTTCATACAATTACCACAACCTCAAAACAAATTACATCAACGCGAAAATTATGATAAAATATGCAAATAACCGTCGCTGGCTCTATTTTGAAAGATGGGTTTGCTAAACTGACAATTTATATTAAGCTCACATTATTTTACAAGCATTTTATTTGCAACGGTTAGCTTTGATTATTGAACTGCTTTTACAAATAAATGAAAAAATAAAAATGTATTCTAATATACATGTTTGAACAACAGTGAGAAAATTATACATGGGTACCATGCACAACCTCGATTTTTTTTTCTTATTACCAGATTGTACATTATGTATTTTTAAGCATCTTAGTAAAGTAAGTTCTATAATTAAACCTAACAGTCCATGGTACTCGTGGTTCAAAGTCTAGCGATACACTGCTAGGCCACGTCGTCCCATATTCTATTTAGTGTTTAATTAAAGAATCACAATCAAGGGATACTAAAGACGAAAGGTAACGTCTGTTGTTTTTTTATGTTGCAGCTACAGGGCTGTGTATGTGTGCTGCAGGAATAGAGGACATGTGTCCAAAGGTTCAAACCACAACGGAAACAACCACAACATCAACCACCACAACAACAACACCTACAACAACAACCACAACACCAACTACAACAACCACAACACCTACTACAACAACCACAACACCAACTACCACAACCACAACCACAACAACCACAACACCAACTACAACAACGACAACACCAACTACAACAACAACAACACCAACCACCACGACTACAACACCAACCACAACAACCACAACACCAACTACAACAACACCAACTACACCAACCACAACACCAACTACAACAACGACGACACCAACTACCACAACAACACCAACTACCACAACCACAACACCAACTACAACAACGACAACACCAACTACAACAACCACTACACCTACTACCACAACAACAAAACCAACGACAACAACGACAACACCAACTACCACAACGACTAAAACTACAACCACAACACCAACCACAACTACTACCAAAACTACGACCACAACTAAACCTACAACAACTACCACAAAACCAACAACAACAACCACGAAACCAACAACCACAACAAAACCTACGACAACAACCACAAAACCAACGACCACAACGAAAACTACGACAACCACCACACTTCCAACAACCACAGTCGCCTACCCACTATACAACGCCGACCCTGCTTGCTGCGACCCCAACAACTTGCCAACGTTTTTCTACGCTCAAATCGCTGGCTGTATCGTCGATGGTGGTAAGTTGCGGTGTCGTTATGGTATCGTAATATCTACAATTTTCCGAAGATTTCGATAATTAGTTGTGTGTGTTAGTAAACCCACAGCTATCATTTTATTTAAAGCAGTAGGAGGCTATTACTGGAGATAGCCAAATCGCTCACAGCAAGAGATCCTTTAAATTTTGCCACAGCACATTGTGTGACTGAGGGAGAACTATAGTGCCATAATATTTACAACTTATTTAAAATCTAAAATAAGCCACAAACGTGTTTAGAGCTAGCATTTGAAGTTAGTTATTGTTACTATAATAATGCATCATATTTGTATTTTGTTTGTGTATCATTGAGCAGACGTCTTGATTTTTAAAGTCGCTTGTACTTTTTTTCAGCTACAGGCTTGTGCATGTGTGCAGCCGGCATCGAAGATATGTGTCCAAAGGTTCAGACGACGTTAGAGCAAACTACATCCACCACAACAACAACAACGACTCCGACAACAACTACAACCACGCCTACAACAACAACTACTACACCAACAACAACTACAACCACGCCTACAACAACAACTACTTCACCAACAACAACTACAACCACGCCTACAACAACAACTACTACGCCGACAACAACTACAACTACGCCTACAACAACAACTACTACACCGACAACAACTACAACCACGCCTACAACAACAACTACTACCCCGACAACAACTACAACACCAACTACAACTACAACAACACCTACCACAACAACGACGACGCCTACAACAACAACCACTGAACCGTTGACAACCACGACTACTGAACAAACTACTACAACAACACCAACCACAACTACCACACCCACCACAACAACAACACCAACCACAACTACAACGACGCCTACAACGACAACTACTGAACAGGCATCAACCACAACCACTGAACAAACAACTACAACAACACCGATTACATCAACAACACCCACTACAACGACTACTCCAGCAACGACCACGACAGTTCCAGATACAACAACTACAGAGCCAACAACGACAACCACTACAGCGGAGCTTACTACAACAACAACAGAACCAGAAGGCACAACAACAACCGAACAACTAACAACTACAGAGCCAACAACGACAACCACTACTGCGGAGCTTACTACAACAACAGAACCACAAATCACAACAACAACCGAAAAACTAACAACTACAGAGCCAACAACGACAACCACTACTGCGGAGCTTACTACAACAACAGAACCACAAATCACAACAACAACCGAACAACTAACAACTACAGAGCCAACAACAACAACCACTACAGCGGAGCTTTCTACAACAACAACAGAAACAGAAGGTACAACAGCATCGGAACAAACAACCATAACATCCACTGTAGCAATTACAACAGTCAGTGAAACAACAACAGCAATAAATGATGAGCCAGATTTATCAACCACAGTAATATTCGAGACTTCTACAACAGACACTCCATCAACTACGCTAGAACAATCAACTACAGCTCACGTAATTACTACAACAACTGACCAAATGTCTACTGCTTCTACAGAGATGACCACATCATCGTCAACCCAACAGCCAACTACAACAACTGAACAACCAACTACAACAACTGAACAACTAACTACAACAACCACTGAACAGCCAACTACAACAACTGAACAACTAACTACAACAACCACTGAACAACCAACTACAACAACCACTGAACAGCCAACTACAACAACCACTGAACAACAAACTACAACAACCACTGAACAGCTAACTACAACAACAACTGAACAGCCAACTACAACAACCAGTGAACAGCCAACTACAACAACCACTGAACAACCAACTACAACAACCACTGAACAGCCAACTACAACAACTGAACAGCTAACTACAACAACCACTGAACAACCAACGACAACAACCACTGAACAACCAACTACAACAACCACCGAACAACCAACTACAACAACCACTGAACAGCCAACAACAATAACCACTGAACAGCCAACTACAACAACAACTGAACAGCCAACTACAACAACTGAACAACTAACTACAACAACCACTGAGCAGCCAACAACAACAACCACTGAACAGCCAACTACAACAACAACTGAACAGCCAACTACAACAACCACTGAACAGCCAACTACAACAACCACTGAACAACCAACTACAACAACCACTGAACAGCCAACTACAACAACTGAACAGCTAACTACAACAACCACTGAACAACCAACGACAACAACCTCTGAACAACCAACTACAACAACCACCGAACAACCAACTACAACAACCACTGAACAGCCAACAACAACAACCACTGAACAGCCAACAACAACAACCACTGAACAGCCAACTACAACAACCACTGAACAGCCAACTACAACAACCACTGAACTGCCAACTACAACAACCACTGAAAAGCCAACAACAACAACCACTGAACAGCCAACTACAACATCCACTGAACAGCCAACTACAACAACTGAACAACTAACTACAACAACCACTGAACAGCCAACTACAACAACTGAACAACTAAGTACAACAACCTCTGAACAGCCACCTACAACAACTGAACAACTAACTACAATAACCACTGAACAGCCAACTACAACAACCAGTAAACAACCAACTACAACAACTGAACAAACAACAACAGAAGCACCAACTACCACAACTACAGAGGCACAAACTACCACAATTACAGAAGCACCAACTACATCAACTACAGAGGCACCAACTACAACAACCACAGTGTCACCAACTACAACAACTGAACTGCCAACTACCACAACTACAGAGGCACCTACTACTACCACTACAGAGACACCAACTACCACAACTACCGGGACACCAACTACAACAACTACAGAAGCACCAACTACAACAACTACAGAGACAGTAACTACCACAACTATAGAGGCACCAACTACAACAACTACAGAGGCAAAAACTACAACAACTACAGAGACACCAACTACAACAACTGAAGTGCCAACTACCAAAACAACAGATGTAACAACTACAACAACTACAGAAGCACAAACTACAACAACAGTTGAACAACCAACTACGACTACTACGGAAAAACTACCTTCAAGTACTACTGAAGCAATCACAACATCAACAAGTGAAACGACAACAGCATCAAACGATCAACCAGATTTATCAACAACAGTCATAATAGAGACTTCTACAACAGAAACTCCATCATCATCTACCGCAGAACCATCGACTACTTCTCAAGTAATTACTACAACAACTGACCAAATTACTACCACTGCAACAGAAATGACAACCACAACTACTGAACAGCCAACAACTACAGAGGCACCAACTACAACAACCACAGATGTACCAACTACAACAACTACAGTGGCACCAACTACAACATCTGAACTGCCTACTATCACAACCACAGAAGCACCAACTACAACAACTACAGAGGCACCAACTAAAACAACTACAGATGCGCCAACAACATCAACAACAGAAGAACCAACTACATCAACATCAGAAGCAACAACTACCACAACTACAGAAGCACCAACTTCCACAACTACAGAGACACCAACTACAACAACTACAGAGGCACCAACTACAACAACTACAGAGGCAATAACTACCACATCTACAGAAGTACCAACTACAACAACCACAGAGGCACCAACTACAACAACTACAGAAGCAATAACTACCACATCTACAGAAGTACCAACTACAACAACAACAGAGGCACCAACTACAACAACTACAGAAGCACCAACTACAACAACCACAGAAGCACCAACTACAACATCTGAACTGCCTACTACCACAACTACAGAGACACCAACTACAACAACTACAGAGGCACCAACTACAACAACTACAGTGGAACCAACTACATCAACTACAGAAGCAACAACTACCACAACTACAGATATACTAACTACAACAACTACAGTGGCACAAACTACAACATCTGAACTCCCTACTACCACGACTACAGAGACACCAACTACCACAACTACAGAGACACCAACTACCACAACTACAGAGGCACCAACTAAAACAACAACAGAGGCACCAACTACAACAACTACAGAAGCACCAACTACAACAACCACAGAGGCACCAACTACAACAACGGAACTACCAACTACCACAACTACAGAAGCACCATCTACAACAACGACAGAAGCACCAACTACCACAACAGAACTGCCAACTACAACAACTACAGAGGCACCAACTACAACAACGACAGAGGCACCAACTACAACAACTACAGAAGCACCAACTACAACATCTGAACCGCCTACTACCACAACGACAGAGACACCAACTACCACAACTACAGAGACACCAACTACAACAACTACAGGGGCACCAACTACATCAACTACAGAAGCACCAACTACAACAACTACGGTGGAACCAACTACAACAACTACAGAAGCAATAACTACCACAACTACAGAAGTACCAACTACAACAACCACAGAGGCACCAACTAAAACAACTACAGAAGGACCAACTACTACAACAGAAATGCCAACTACAACAACTACAGAGGCAACAACTACAACAACGACAGAGGCACCAACTACCACAACTACAGAGGCACCAACTACAACAACTACAGAGGCACCAACTACAACAACTACAGAGGCACCAACTACAACAACTACAGAGGCACCAACTACAACAACTACAGAGGCACCAACTACAACAACTACAGATGCGTCAACTACTACAACTGAACAGCCAAGTACCACAACTACAGAAGCATCAACTACCACTACTACAGAAGCTTCAACCACAACAACAGTTGAACAACCAACTACCACAACAACTGAACAGTTACCTACCAGTACTACTGAAGTTATTACCACATCCACGACAAGTGAAACAACAACGGCAGCTAATGATCAACCAGATTTATCAACTACAGTCATAATAGAGACTTCAACTGCAGAAACACCAGCATCATCTACTGCAGAAACATCGACTACATCTCAAGTAATTACTACAACAATTGACCTAACTACAACAACAGAACAGCTAACTACCACGACTACAGAGGCGCCAACAACTACAACTACAGAGGCACCAACTACCACAACTACAGAAGCACCTACTACAACAACTACAGTGGCACCAACTACAACATCCGAACTGCCTACTACCACAACTACAGATACACCAACTACCACAACTACAGAGGCACAAACTACAACAACTACAGAGGCACCAACTACAACAACTACAGAAGCACTAACTACAACAACTACAGTGGCACCAACTACAACAACTACAGAAGCAACAACTACAACATCTGAACTGCCAACTACCACAACTACAGAGACACCAACTACCACAACTACAGAGACACCAACTACCACAACTACAGAGGCACCAACTACAACAACTACAGAGGCACCAACTACAACAACTACAGTGGAACCAACTACAACAACTACGGTGGAACCAACTACAACAACTACAGAAGCAACAACTACCACAACTACAGATGTACCAACTACCACAACTACAGAAGCACCAACTACAACAACTACAGAAGCACCAACTACCACAACAGAACTGCCAACTACAACAACTACAGAGGCACCAACTACAACAACGACAGAGGCACCAACTACAACAACTACAGAAGCACCAACTACAACATCTGAACCGCCTACTACCACAACGACAGAGACACCAACTACCACAACTACAGAGGCACCAACTACAACAACTACAGTTTCACCAACTACAACAACGGAACTACCAACTACCACAACTACAGAAGCACCTACTACAACAACTACAGTGGCACCAACTACAACATCCGAACTGCCTACTACCACAACTACAGATACACCAACTACCACAACTACAGAGACACCAACTACCACAACTACAGAGGCACCAACTACAACAACTACAGAGGCACCAACTACATCAACTACAGTGGAACCAACTACAACAACGGAACTACCAACTACCACAACTACAGAAGCACCTACTACAACAACTACAGTGGCACCAACTACAACATCCGAACTGCCTACTACCACAACTACAGATACACCAACTACCACAACTACAGAGACACCAACTACCACAACTACAGAGGCACCAACTACAACAACTACAGAGGCACCAACTACATCAACTACAGTGGAACCAACTACAACAACTACAGAAGCAACAACTACCACAACTACAGATGTACCAACTACCACAACTACAGAAGCACCAACTACAACAACTACAGAAGCACCAACTACCACAACAGAACTGCCAACTACAACAACTACAGAGGCACCAACTACAACAACGACAGAGGCACCAACTACATCAACTACAGTGGAACCAACTACAACAACTACAGAAGCAACAACTACCACAACTACAGATGTACCAACTACCACAACTACAGAAGCACCAACTACAACAACTACAGAAGCACCAACTACCACAACAGAACTGCCAACTACAACAACTACAGTGGCACCAACTACAACATCCGAACTGCCTACTACCACAACTACAGATACACCAACTACCACAACTACAGAGGCACTAACTACAACAACTACAGTGGCACCAACTACAACAACTACAGAAGCACCAACTACAACATCTGAACTGCCAACTACCACAACTACAGAGACACCAACTACCACAACTACAGAGACACCAACTACCACAACTACAGAGGCACCTACTACAACAACTACAGAGGCACCAACTACAACAACTACAGTGGAACCAACTACAACAACTACAGAAGCAACAACTACCACAACTACAGATGTACCAACTACCACAACTACAGAAGCACCAACTACAACAACTACAGAAGCACCAACTACCACAACAGAACTGCCAACTACAACAACTACAGAGGCACCAACTACAACAACGACAGAGGCACCAACTACAACAACTACAGAAGCACCAACTACAACATCTGAACCGCCTACTACCACAACGACAGAGACACCAACTACCACAACTACAGAGGCACCAACTACATCAACTACAGAAGCACCAACTACAACAACTACGGTGGAACCAACTACAACAACTACAGAAGCAATAACTACCACAACTACAGAAGTACCAACTACAACGTCCACAGAGGCACCAACTACCACAACTACAGAGGCACCAACTACAACAACTACAGAGGCACCAACTACAACAACTACAGATGCGTCAACTACTACAACTGAACAGCCAAGTACCACAACTACAGAAGCATCAACTACCACTACTACAGAAGCTTCAACCACAACAACAGTTGAACAACCAACTGCCACAACAACTGAACAGTTACCTCCCAGTACTACTGAAGTAATTACCACATCCACGACAAGTGAAACAACAACGGCAGCTAATGATCAACCAGATTTATCAACTACAGTCATAATAGAGACTTCAACTGCAGAAACACCAGCATCATCTACTGCAGAAACATCGACTACATCTCAAGTAATTACTACAACAATTGACCTAACTACAACAACAGAACAGCCAACTACCACGACTACAGAGGCGCCAACAACTACAACTACAGAGGCACCAACTACAACAACCACAGAGGCAACAACTACAACAACTACAGTTTCACCAACTACAACAACGGAACTACCAACTACCACAACTACAGAAGCACCAACTACAACAACGACAGAGGCACCAACTACCACAACTACAGAGGCACCAACTACAACAACTACAGAGGCACCAACTACAACAACTACAGTGGTACCATCTACCACAACTACAGAAGTACAAACTACAACAACCACAGAGGCACCAACTACAACAACTACAGTGGCACCAACTACAACAACTACAGAAGCACAAACTACAACATCTGAACTGCCTACTACCACAACTACAGAGACACTAACTACCACAACTACAGAGACACCAACTACCACAACTACAGAGACACTAACTACCACAACTACAGAGACACCAACTACCACAACTACAGAGACACCAACTACAACAACTACAGAGGCACCAACTACAACAACTACAGAAGCAACAACTACCACAACTACAGATGTATCAACTACCACAACTACAGAAGCACCAACTACCACAACTACAGAAGCACCAACTACAACAACTACAGAAGCACCAACTACCACAACTACAGAAGCACCAACTACAACAACTACAGAAGCACCAACTACAACAACAACAGAGGCACCAACTACAACAACTACAGAAGCACCAACTACAACAACCACAGAGGCACCAACTACAACAACTACAGTGTCACCAACTACAACAACGGAACTACTAACTACCACAACTACAGAAGCACCAACTACACCAACTACAGAAGCACCAACTACAACTACTACAGTGGCACCAACTACAACAAGTACTGAAGCACCAACTACAACATCTGAACTGCCTACTACCACAACTACAGAGACACCAACTACCACAACTACAGAGGCACCAACTACATCAACTACAGAGGCACCAACTACAACAACTACGCTAGAACCAACTACAACAACTACAGAAGCTATAGCTACCACAACTACAGAAGTACCAACTACAACGACTACAGAGGCACCAACTACAACAACTACAGTGGCACCAACTACAACAACTACAGAAGCACCAACTACTACAACAGAAATACCAACTACAACAACTACAGAGGCACCAACTACAACAACTACAGAGGCACCAACTACAACAACGACAGAGGCACCAACTACCACAACTACAGAGGCACCAACTACAACAACCACAGAGGCACCAACTACAACAACTACAGTGTCACCAACTACAACAACGGAACTACCAACTGCCACAACTACAGAAGCACGAACTACACCAACTACAGAAGCACCAACTACCACAACTACAGAAGCGCCAACTACCACAACTACAGAAGCACCAACTACAACATCTACAGAAGCACCAACTACAACAACAACAGAGGCACCAACTACAACAACTACAGAAGCACCAACTACAACAACCACAGAGGCACCAACTACAACAACTACAGTGTCACCAACTACAACAACGGAACTACTAACTACCACAACTACAGAAGCACCAACTACACCAACTACAGAAGCACCAACTACAACTACTACAGTGGCACCAACTACAACAAGTACTGAAGCACCAACTACAACATCTGAACTGCCTACTACCACAACTACAGAGACACCAACTACCACAACTACAGAGGCACCAACTACATCAACTACAGAGGCACCAACTACAACAACTACGCTAGAACCAACTACAACAACTACAGAAGCTATAGCTACCACAACTACAGAAGTACCAACTACAACGACTACAGAGGCACCAACTACAACAACTACAGTGGCACCAACTACAACAACTACAGAAGCACCAACTACTACAACAGAAATACCAACTACAACAACTACAGAGGCACCAACTACAACAACTACAGAGGCACCAACTACAACAACGACAGAGGCACCAACTACCACAACTACAGAGGCACCAACTACAACAACCACAGAGGCACCAACTACAACAACTACAGTGTCACCAACTACAACAACGGAACTACCAACTACCACAACTACAGAAGCACGAACTACACCAACTACAGAAGCACCAACTACCACAACAGAACTGCCAACTACAACAACTACAGAGGCACCAACTACAACAACGACAGAGGCACCAACTACAACAACTACAGAAGCACCAACTACAACATCTGAACCGCCTACTACCACAACGACAGAGACACCAACTACCACAACTACAGAGACACCAACTACAACAACTACAGGGGCACCAACTACATCAACTACAGAAGCACCAACTACAACAACTACGGTGGAACCAACTACAACAACTACAGAAGCAATAACTACCACAACTACAGAAGTACCAACTACAACAACCACAGAGGCACCAACTAAAACAACTACAGAAGGACCAACTACTACAACAGAAATGCCAACTACAACAACTACAGAGGCAACAACTACAACAACGACAGAGGCACCAACTACCACAACTACAGAGGCACCAACTACAACAACTACAGAGGCACCAACTACAACAACTACAGATGCGTCAACTACTACAACTGAACAGCCAAGTACCACAACTACAGAAGCATCAACTACCACTACTACAGAAGCTTCAACCACAACAACAGTTGAACAACCACCTACCACAACAACTGAACAGTTACCTACCAGTACTACTGAAGTTATTACCACATCCACGACAAGTGAAACAACAACGGCAGCTAATGATCAACCAGATTTATCAACTACAGTCATAATAGAGACTTCAACTGCAGAAACACCAGCATCATCTACTGCAGAAACATCGACTACATCTCAAGTAATTACTACAACAATTGACCTAACTACAACAACAGAACAGCTAACTACCACGACTACAGAGGCGCCAACAACTACAACTACAGAGGCACCAACTACAACAACCACAGAGGCACCAACTACAACAACTACAGTGTCACACACTACAACAACGGAACTACCAACTACCACAACTACAGAAGCAACAACTACCACAACTACAGATGTACCAACTACCACAACTACAGATGTACCAACTACCACAACTACAGAAGCACCAACTACAACAACTACAGAAGCACCAACTACAACATCTGAACTCCCTACTACCACAACTACAGAGACACCAACTACTTCAACTACAGAGGCACCAACTACAACAACTACAGAAGCACCAACTACAACAACTACAGTGTCACCAACTACAACAACGGAACTACCAACTACCACAACTACAGAAGCACCAACTACACCAACTACAGAAGCACCAACTACCACAACTACAGAGGCACCAACTACATCAACTACAGAGGCACTAACTACAACAACTACGCTGCAACCAACTACAACAACTACAGAAGCAATAGCTACCACAACTACAGAAGTACCAACTACAACGACCACAGAGGCACCAACTACAACAACTACAGAGGCACCAACTACAACAACTACAGTGGTACCATCTACCACAACTACAGAAGTACAAACTACAACAACCACAGAGGCACCAACTACAACAACTACAGAAGCACCAACTACCACAACAGAACTGCCAACTACAACAACTACATTGGCACCAACTACAACAACTACAGAAGCAACAACTACCACAACTACAGAAGTTCCAACTACAACAACCACAGAGTCACCAACTACAACAACTACAGAAGCACCAACTACCACAACAGAACTGCCAACTACAACAACTACAGAGGCACCAACTACAACAACTACAGTAGCACCAACTACAACATCTGAACTGCCTACTACCACAACTACAGAGACACCAACTACCACAACTACAGATACACCAACTACCACAACTACGGAGGCACCAACTACAACAACTACAGTGGCACTAACTACCACAACTACAGAAGCACAAACTACCACAACTACAAATACACCAACTACCACAACTACGGAGGCACCAACTACAACAACTACAGAGGCACTAACTACAACAACCACAGATGGACTAGCTACAATGACTACAGAAGCACCAACTACAACAACTACAGTGGCACCAATTACAACATCTGAACTACCTACTACCACAACTACAGAATCTTCAACTACAACAACTACAGAAGCACCAACAACCACAACTACAAATGCGCCAACTACCACAACTACAGAGGCACCAACTACAACAACTACAGAGGCAACAACTACAACAACTACAGAAGCACAAACTACCACAACTACAGAAGTACCAACTACAACAACTACAGAGGCACTAACTACAACAACCACAGATGGACTAGCTACAATGACTACAGAAGCACCAACTACAACAACTACAGAAGCACCAACTACCACAACAGAACTGCCAACTACAACAACTACAGAAGCACCAACTACAACAACCACAGAGGCACCAACTACCACAACTACAGAGGCACCAACTACAACAACTACAGAGGCAACAACTACAACAACTACAGAAGCACAAACTACCACAACTACAGAAGTACCAACTACAACAACTACAGAGGCACTAACTACAACAACCACAGATGGACTAGCTACAATGACTACAGAAGCACCAACTACAACAACTACAGTGGCACCAACTACAACATCTGAACTGCCTACTACCACAACTACAGAATCTTCAACTACAACAACTACAGAAGCACCAACAACCACAACTACAAATGCGCCAACTACCACAACTACAGAGGCACCAACTACAACAACTACAGAGGCAACAACTACAACAACTACAGAAGCACAAACTACCACAACTACAGAAGTACCAACTACAACAACTACAGAGGCACTAACTACAACAACCACAGATGGACTAGCTACAATGACTACAGAAGCACCAACTACAACAACTACAGTGGCACCAACTACAATATCTGAACTGCCTACTACCACAACTACAGAATCTTCAACTACAACAACTACAGAAGCACCAACAACCACAACTACAAATGCGCCAACTCTCACAACTACAGAGACACCAACTACAACAACTACAGAGGCACCAACTACAACAACTACAGAAGTACCAACTACAACATCTACAGAAGCACCAACTACAACAACTACAGTGGCACTAACTACAACAACGGAACTACCAACTACAACAACCACAGAGGCACCAACTACCACAACTACAGAGGCACCAACTACCACAACTACAGAAGCATCAACTACAACAACCACAGAGGAAACAACAACTACTAGTACCACAACTCCTAAACCTTGTAAGTGAACGATCTTTTTTTCGGCATTTCACTCTGACATTATTTTAACTTTCTTTTCTGGTTAATTTCTTTACTTCTTATTTTCATAAAATTTGAATGCTTTCAATTTCAAAATTATGATTTGTCTTCAATCTCGTGTCTAACATCACTGTTTACTTTAAGTTTATCTATATATACAATTCTCTACGTGGGGACCATGCGAGACACCACCACGTAGGGTCTAAGCCGTTACTAGCCCGTTCTCTAGGCATATCACTGCCCGCCCCGCACCTCCACCAGCCTGGTAAGCTGTGGTTTACGTTCAAAGTTTACAATCGTAGAGCCGGGTCGAATCATTGGCGGCTGTTAGGGGCAGATAATTTAGTTTTTAAACGATTTTAAACAAAGGGGAAATAATAAAAATGTTTCTGCTTTTCGACTGTAAACTGTAGACACGGACGGCTTCTTTCAAGGGGACAGACGGAGAGAGGGAAGGAAGGGTGAGGATAAACTTCCTTCACTAGCTAGTGATAGTACTTTAAAACAAAATATTTTCACTTGCAGTATTGGTAGTGTCGAAGTGGAAAATAAAACAACTAAATAGCGGCGTATGCTAAGTCTCGGACCGGCATGTAGTAAATAATAGGTTTCTATGACAAATGATCTCAGACAAAATATCTCACGGACAAATGATCTCACGCCAAATGTGTCAAGACAAATTATCTCAAATAATATCCCGGACAAAAGATATCAGCACAAATACATATCATCACAAATGATGCAATGGACAAATGATCTTAAACCAAATATGTCAGACACAATATTTCACATCAAAATATTTATAGTATTTAGGATTAGAGGCGTAGAGATGGGGGGCAGGGGGGGGGGGACATATGTCCCCGGGCGCCGACCTTAGGGGGCGCCAAAATGGGTTGTAATAAAAAATTAAAATGTCAATTTAGCTGCATTTTTGCAGTTTGAGGGGGTGCAAATCGAAAGTTAGAGGGGGGGGGGGTGCATCTTTAACATCTTTTAAAAAATTGATTGTCCTTTGGTTTTTATTTACTTTTTTTTTAAACCTAATAATTGTGAGTAAAGGTTTGTCGTAAATGGTTGTTACATTTAATATATTAAAATTGCAATTAGAAATATAATATTCGTAGGTTTAAACGAAGATAACAGAGACAGTTTAGGTGGGCTTGCCGAATATGAGGCAGTCCTAGCACATCAGGAGGACGAAACTAGATCAAAGAGCTTAAATATGGAAGCGCCAAGAAATCACACATACGTATCAAGGGGGCCACTTGCAATGTTGGGGGAGACACATCGAGAAGATGTTCACTCTCCGTTGACAATACAACGATCATGTGAAGTCAATGTTTGTTTTCCTATCACACTCTGGTGATAACGTGACTTGCTAATTTAAACGACAGTGGTCATTGCGGAGGAAAGTTAATCATAGTGTGCATGCAAACAAAGATGTAGTACTGGTGAGTACGCAGCTATGGCATCTCTTGTTACATAGCAGAAATGCATCTTAGATTTACGCTAGATAAGAGCCAGCGAAGAAACGTTAACGTTACATTTGTGTTGATGATGCACTAAAAACATAATTTTCGCATTAGAAACTTGAAGACCCAATCATCTTTTTGAAAACTATTTCACGTGTTTTGAAGATAAATGTGACTAAGGCTTCCATTATTTTATTTCTTATATGCTTTTTCATGTCTTATACACTTAATACAAATTCTATTTAAAAAATTGTGCTTAACTCATTCATTTAGTATATCTCACAATTATTATGTGTAGGGGAAAACAGCGAATAAAAATCCATCTGACAATTAAACAAATGTTAAAATTGACTACAATTCTCATAAATACAATAAATATTTTGCTGTGAGATATTTTGTCTGAGATCATTTGTCGTGAGATCATTTATTCGTGAGATATTTTGTCTGGTATATTTTTCTGAGATCATTTGTCCTGTCACCATATATATATATATATATATATATATATATATATATATATATATATATATATATATATATATATATATATATATATATATATAATTTAAATAGTTAACTCTTTAACAGCAGTTTGTTTATCCTCTATAGAAGATTGTATTTAATCTAAAATTGAATTTATTTCCCTCTGATTAGTGTGCCCAAGTGTTACCCAGCCTGTGATTGCGGGTAAAAGACTTACGGGTACCGCTACAGCTGACGCATGCAGTGTTGCCAGTGGAATGGTTGGTATTCGAGACAGTTTTTCAAGTGAGTTGCTGTTTTTTAAACAATCGGTCTCAAAAGGCAGGATATGTTTCTACTGTTTGGTCAGATACATAGTGGGAGGGCAATGCGTTGGTAGGGAGATGGAGTCTAAAAGTTAAAGTCAAATTTTATGCTCGTTTTTAAAAGATAAAATGCCATTAGGGCTGCGTGAATATTTTTTTGTACATTCAGTATGTGTACGTGAGTACGTTTATTGTTTGACAGGCTCAACCCTGTGTACAGGAGTTTTAACGTCTACCACCACTCTCATCGTACCGTTGGATTGTGCCGATTATTTTAACGAGATCAAAGGCATCAGGTAACATAATTAACTTCATTAGTGATCTGGTTCTTTTTGGTTGACAAATGCATGATCAAAAGCTATGCCACACCCATGGTGTACGGGAGCGTTAGTATGTAGTATTGTTGCATAAAACATAACATTTTCAGAACAAGGAATGGTTAAGATAGGACATTACATGTTCTGTCTCCCGAGTAGAAAAATGGGGCAAATACGGACCGGCCTACAAGTCTTCGATGATTAGTTGAAAACTAGCCTCCATTGATCATCTCCTCGTGTAGTTTTTTAAACAGTCATCTATAACATCCATTGGAACTTGTTGAGATCGTAGACCGAATCTACGGAATGCCTAAAAAATTGTTGCCGATTCGGAAAGCCTGTTAAATAGACCAGAGTGCACCTCTATTGATAAAAATCAATATTTACTAATTGTGTTTAATATACTGTTTTACCGTTTTAGCGATGAGCTATTGAGTGTCGGCAGTGGTCAGCAAGAGATAGTCATTACTGCAGGAAACCTAAACTGTGAGTATTTTGGTATGGTTTAAATCCTAAACACGCTGGCAAATTTGTCAACGTTTTCAATGAACAAAGATCAAGTAGCTTGCTGCAATCACTTAAACTCGCCCCTCAACTCATGACAATTTTACAAAATTGCCCCCCCCCCCACCCCACCCCTGTAGATTCTGACATCGGCAATGGCATGGCGAGTATAACGCTACCGGAACCAGTGAGCGTGACCAACTGTCCTGAGTACGCATGTCTGTACGATGACTCCACAATGAACGGTCGAGTGGACTTCACCAACTGTTTTGCTGCTGGGTACGGGACGCAGGCATCTGGAGACTGTAAGTAGTAGCCGGCAGTATATGTTAGTTCCATGTCGTCTCGTCTGGTCTGTATTGGAATAAGACATTAGTCTTAGGTTGTGGGACACCTACCCTTATATTGTCATATGCAACGGAGGATGGTGATTTTAGCAGGTCTGGTAGAACATGCTGACGTCACTTGACGGATTTTTAGCATTTTGTGACGTTAATTTATGGGAGCGGTCTGGTTTAAGTACATTATTTTATCCAAGGTCTGGCTTGCTTTTTGTAGTGCTATTTTGAGGGGGTTGGGTGATTTTTGTGACGTTATAAAATTTGGGATCTAGCTTTTTGAACGATAAAGGGAGGGGGGTACAATGATGAATACATTATTTTAACACTATTTATAGATGCCCCATGAAAAAAATGTAAATAATTATTTGGAGACTTTTAAAGACCTACTAATTACTTGGCGTTTAATTAATTCCCAGTCAACTACACCGGCGATGCCCGTCAGATAACCATCACAAGCAACACATGTTGCGATGTTTTGCTGCAGGAGGTCGCTGACGCTGGTGGCAACTACACGGACACGATGGTCAACCCTACCTCGCAGGTCATTTGTCTGGGATCTGACGAGTCGTCATGCGGGGTAAGACAGGCTGTTGCCTCTCCTTCTTCTCTTTCATTTCTTCATTATTTCATCATCTTCTTCGTTATTGATTAAATTATTGGAGGTGATTTCCTCCAACATAATTAAGTATTAGGTATCTATAAGTTATGCACCATATGGTAAGTTGAATCTTGACTTCAGCTTGCTTTTCTTTCTGGATTTGCCTGCATAGTCTTAGCGAGGTACGATCCGTAAAGTAGTAATTATTTCATTTTGTAGTATTCTTTCTTAGAATGGTTTTCTGTCCCCTACTAACTTCTTTTTGCTTGAGATCCGAAATTGGTTAGCAATCATACGCTCTCCACTCCGTCCCCTTGTAGCTCTCACTGTTGTATTATACTTCGTTACAGTGTTGTCTAAAATTCTGTACCGCGGTGGTTCTCAAACTGTGTCATGTACCCAAGCGTTTCTATTGGATTCGTTAACAAAATTGTTTATTTCAACTTAAAAGATAAAAGTATATTAAGATATAACGCGAGCATCAAATTGGAAAATGTTCTAATTATAAATTGTTTTTATACATTTACCGACATATTGATCTAGCCCCCTCGGGCGAAATATACACTTATTTCTTTAAATTGTATGTATTAAAACAGTTTACGATTTTTCCTAACTTATAAAAAGGATCAACAACTGCAGTGATGTCTTGCTCATAATATATTACTCCTATCATTTAAGTAACTGTTTCAACCTTCTTACTGTCAATGTAAGCTTACTGTGATTATGTTTTACTGTTTCAACCTTCTTACTGCCAGTGTAGCTTACTGTGATTATGTTTTACTGTTTCAACCTTTTTACTGCCAGTGTAGCCTACTGTGACTATGTTTTACGGTTTCAACCTTCTTACTGCCAGTGTAGCTTACTGTGATTATGTTTTACTGTTTCAACCTTCTTACTGCCAGTGTAGCTTACTGTGACTATGTTTTACTGTTTCAACCTTCTTACTGTCAGTGTAAGCTTACTGTGACTATGTTATCTCCTGCAGGGTGACTTTGGAGCTCCCGTGTACTGCCATGCTACTGACACACAAGAGCTGATCGTGGTGGCTGTGCTAACTTCCATCCCGTGTACTTCCGGTGACCCCATTCTTGCGAATGACTTGACCAATGGGAATTACGGTGCAACCCTTACAACTAGTGGTTGATTTTAACATTCAAAAATATAAAATATGAATGTGTCAAAAAAAAATTTCAAGTAGATTAATGTGAAAAGTTCAAAAAAATAAAATATGAATGTTCAAACAGAATGTTTTTCTTGTACTATTTTAGCAAAATATACACTATTATATTTTCAATACAAGGCTTCAAAAAGTAGTTTACAGTGAGACCTTCAAAAATAAAACCTTAAAGTTAAAACAATATTGTTTTTAAACACCTTTTTGATCAAGTTGTATCACAGACGTCAGGAAAAAATTAAAATATGCATGTATAAACAGCATGGCTGTATCGTTTTGAGCATTTTGTGTATACAAAAAGTAAGTTTTTTTTTGAATGGCCTCCGTCATTCTGTCCAAGACGGCACTGGTAGGAACTGTTCTCAGCAGCTGTTTGATTAGCACCCCCCCCCCCCTCAAACTTTCGATTTGCACCATCATAAGGGATGACAATAAATCGAAAATTCGTAAATTTTACTGTAAAATCAATGTTTGTCTTACACTACTTAAAATAATAAAATAGTACAAAAGAGGGGTGACACAAGACCAAGCTTGCAAAATTGTTGATGGGATGGGGCAGCAACCTTAGATACCGCACCGGGTGACACTTGACCTACAGACATTTCACTCACCTGTGGAAAAGGACAACGCAGGGGCCTATAGCCAAGCAGATTAGAAGGAAGTGGCGCTGGGCTGGGCACCCACTGAGAAAGGAGCATGCAACGGAGACATGTCAGGCGGTTGAGTGGACCCCCCACCCCCCCACCCCACCCAAAGGGGAGGCGAAAGAAAAGGCGACCACCGGTTGGAATGTAACAAACTCCATATCGTATTGTTTTATTTAACTTATCTGTTAAATACAATAATTTTTTATAAGTCTGTTTGGGGGGGGGGGGGGGGAATATATGACGTCGGGTCCTGGGAACTATATCTTCCTGGGAATGGACACTGGTAAAAGTGTGTATCTTCTACATATATTTTATTTTGTCCGATTGGAGGAAGAGAGGCGGTAGACTCGTTTCATGGGATGGCCGGGTGTATGCAGAGTTTCTTCCAGGCATCTCTTCGGTGAGGGGGGGTGGGGGGGGGGGGGTGAAGAAAGTCTACCGCACCCCCCCCCCCCCCCCCCGAACGAGATGGAATTTATATAATAAACATACACTTTACTAGTTCCCTCCCCCGAAAATATCAAGTGCCCCCCCCCCGGAGAAAAAAGTCTGGAAGAAACACTGGGTGACTGTGTGTGTGTGTGTGTGTTGGGGGGGGGGGAGTGGGGGGGGGAGTCCCAACCCAGCTAACACAGTATGTAATACCATTGTGGGCCCAAGCTTGGCCCAATGTTGTAATCATGGCCAAACATTGGACAAGCTTACGCCAGGGTACAGCCAAGATTTGTACATGCTTGCATCCCTTGATACCTTGATATTTAACCGTTTTTACCTTGGCTGCCAAGATTACACTGATTTATGTATTCACTGCAGAAATTTTAGTTAAATATGCTTGTTAAACTTAATATATGTTAACTAAAATTAATTTATCTTTTAATATCATGCTCTAATGTAAACATAGCATCAATAACAGACTACGTTGCATGTGTTAAACATTTTGTTAATCTTTTTAAAATTGTGTGCGCTACTGCCACCGGCCCCCTGTCGCCCATTGTCCCTTTGTTCACATTCCTTCCTATTGTTCGCAAGCCAGCATCCCGGTGCTTCGCCATTTTTCTTAACAAAAGACTTTGTATCCAGTCACAGTAAAACAGGTAGGCCCACTGTAGCCATTTTAGTTCAACAGTGAGAAGAGAATCTAGTATAACTGTATTTATGCAGAATCTGGAAAACTCGTATTTTTTTGTTGAAAACTTTAACTTTATGGGCCTAAGTCATCAAATAAAAGTTATAAAAGGTAGTTTATTTGAGGTAATAAAATGAGCCTAGATCTAGACTCTAGATCTAGTCTAGATCTATATTATATATTAATAATACTAGAGTCTATATATTCTGTTTATTTTGGCATTAGGCTATAATTACATTTTACAATAATCTCCTTTATGATAGATCTAGATAGATCTAGATTCTAATCATACTAAATACTAAATAACTAAAAATCGTAATCAGAGGGCGGTTAATTTTGACAGCACTTTTTTTTTGTATTGAAAAGTATGCAAGTACGTTTGGGGTTATATTGATTATTGATAGATCGATGTATTTATTGGTTTTCAACTTTAGGTATAATTATCACGCACAGGGGAAGGGGGGGGGGGGCTTAAATGTTTATAAATTAATAAATAATCATTCACTTTAACTTTAAAAAAAACTTAATTTTATTGTTCTAGGCCTATTTGTGTAAGGATTTGAAACTGTCTTTAATAATTAATTCAGAGAGAGAGAGAGAGGAACAGTAGACACAATTATAGAACAAATTTCTACATGCTAAACAAACAGTCACAGTGTATTTTGATAGGTATTAATTTTGAAAAAAATTAGTCAACTAGAATTCTAAATTGATTCAAGATTGTCATTCAAATTTCTATTACTGTTACAGCTCCCTATGGGAGAATAAGATGTCATCATCATCACTCCTTTGTGGCCCCTGGGGAGCAAAGGGCTGCAACCACACATCTCCAGCGGACTCGGTTTTGGGCTGCTCCTCTAATCTGTGCCCATGAGAGCCCAGCTGTTTTCGCCTACTCCTCAACCGTTCTCTTCCATGTTTTCCTTGGCCGGCCCACCCTCCTTTTTCCCTGGGGATTCCAGTCTAATGCATGTTTTGATGAATAAGATGTAAGTTGTGTAAATAGTAGTGTGGAGACCTCAGAGCAACACTTAATTTCATGACCAACAGCGATAAGATGGTACTATTAGTAAGCCATACTTAATGATCAAGACTACTCATATTATCATATAGAGGACAGAGTAGGCAAATGGTTGAGGACACTATTGCTAAACATAAAGCCAAGTTAGTAGTACATTCATCAGTTCACCTAAGTCTGATATATACCCAATTTAAGACTATGAAATAAAAAAGGTGGCTAGATATAGTGTTGACTACACAAATCCTTTATATACAGAGATCAAATAAACAGAGATACTTAAAAATTAGTATCTAATCTGGCTATCATTTATTGTATCACTCACTCATTTTATTATTATATTTAATAACTAAGAATGCCATTTATTTTCAGGCCTCCAGGTGTTGTGTATATCAATCAGCCCACTGGAGATATATCAATCTTTTAATAAATTATAAGGTCCCCACTGCTTGATACTTCACCAAATACTGGCTACACCAGAAAATGACTAAATGTTCTTAACACTTAACAACTGTAAGTTTACATTGTTTCAAAGTGAATAATAATTTTCATTTAGTAATTTTTGCTTGCATGTAATGATCAGCATGTGTAGTTAATGCCTTTACTGATATTAGTAAAATAATTTCAGACCACAAGCATTACTTCTGGGTCACTCTGAAGGGTCTAATCGTTCAATTACTGAATTGATAAAGTTGATGAAATTGCTCAAAAGTTGTCTGGCACCTTCTTAACTCAGAGACATAGGGTAAGGGGTTTATAATATTTATATACATACTATTATTTTTTTTATTACCAGGTCTTTTTTTTTTCACTTTTGTTTATAAATATATATATATATATATATATATATATATATATATATATATATATATATATATATATATATATATATATATATATGCAGTATAAGTGTTACCTGGGTAGCATGAACACCCCAGACCACCAGTCTTTATACCTATATAATATATCGTTACAAGGTAGCAAACATGATGTTAGGGGCTTCTTGTTGTATGTTCAGTGCAGTGCAAAATAAAATAAACATAATAAATTTAGTGCAAAATGAGCAGTGTATGGTTGTAATTATTTCATAAATGACTTTTAGTGTGTAACTTTTCTTTTTTAGAATGTGGATGGATTATGACATACCTTGCACAAATCAACAACCAGGCTTTTATTGGATTTGAATCCCAAAGGAAAGAGAAAGTTTGTTATCCAAAACAAACATGGAAAATATCAGAAACCAACAAAACACAAGCAGGCAGAGTGTTATGGACCCAACTTTGGGGAATCTCCTAAAACCAAGTATAAAAATAGAGAGGTGTGGTTGTGTCTCTCAGCTCCACAAGGGTCCACAAGAATGAGGACAACATTGATTTTCGTAATAATTTTAGATCAGATTTTAAAAAAAAATTGATCAGATGGATCAGGTTAACAGTTTAATACATATTGCATTTAAGTGCTTAACGAAAAGAAAAGATGCTCTTACCAAAATAGTCTAAGAACAATGCTGATTTTAAATTGATAAATTGTTTCCTTTTGTAATAATATAATAATTTAAGTTGGCATTGTATGTATGTTTAGTGTAGATTTAATGCCCTAAATGAAATATACAATTGACATTTTTTTCTTTAAAGAAATAGTTGCAAATTTCTTTCATTATTTAGTTTCACTGTACAATCTGAAAAAAGCTTGCAACATTTGTATTGACAATACTTCTGCTGGTGATATTTATTTCTAATTAATGAAGTAAATTAATATATATTCAGTTTACTATAATTAAATACCTCATACTCGAGACAAAAAAACATTTATTGAATATCGCAGTGATATTCCTGTTCTACACAATGCGTATAAACCCTCGAACCATCTGTCTTTTGAAAGATTGTACATTTTGTATACACAATGGCATTCATATCAACACTATTTAACCACAATTATAATCTAGAGATCCTGAACATATTTTCGTTCTGTTATTTATGGACAAGGCAGACTGGTCCAGCATTAAAATGTAAACCTTAATTAGAATACTTAAACGAGCTATGCAATTAAATGTTGTTAGACAAATATTTTATACTTTTTATTTTTAATGTTATGTTTACGTATCATAGTACAAGACAGCTTCTGTATTCTTGTACAGTAAATTAAGTTTTTACATTAGTTTAATTTAAACTGTAGGCCTCTTAACATCTGTTACATTATATGAAAATGTTTTGTATATTTGTTTTAATTTGTTTGTATAAAAGTCAAAATGAAAGTTACTACACTATTATTTACATATTCTTTTTCAATCAATACTTTATAGTATAGTTATAATTTTCTTACAATTGAATGGATGGTATAATACAGATTTTAATAGATGAGCAGTTCTTGTGTATGTATTGCTGCTTTACTACATTTTGATTAAAATTTCTTTCACATTTTGAAATTACCTTTGTAAATATTATGACTGATATGAGAATGGATCTTTTTGTATGCTAAAAATAAAAATTTGAGCCAAGATGTAGCCAGGATATAATACAGGCTGAGCCAAGGTATAGCCGAGATATAGCCATTATTGGGCCAAGATGTAGCCAGGATATAATACAGGATGAGCCAAGGTATAGCCAATATTGGGCCAAGATATAGCCATTATTGAGCCAAGATGTAGCCAATATTGGGCCAAGATGTAACCATGATATAGACAATATTGGGCCAAGATATAGCCAATATTGAGCCAAGATGTAGCCAATATTGGGCCAATATGTAGCCGGGATATAGCCAATGTTGGGCCAATATGTAGCCGGGATATAGCCAATATTTGGCCAAGATCTAGCCAATGTTGGGCCAATATGTAGCCGGGATATAGCCAATATTGTGCCAACATTGCGCCAACATCATGCCGAGTTTCACTACCAATGTTTCGCCAAGGTTAAGCCAATGTTGCACCAAGATGTAGCCAATATTGGTAACCAATGTTTAGCCAATATTGGGCCAATATATGTGTGCTGACTGGGAAAGAGATGCCTGAAAAAACTCTGTATGGGCCTAGAAAACAGCGTGTCACATTTTTACAAGTGCACCGCTTATCATTTATTGGCTACAACATAAATGAGTATCGAGAAATATGTACTATTGTTGATCTTTACAAAAAAATCAAAATTCGGCAGTCAATAAAAAAAAAATCCCATATAATTACAAACAATTTTTAAATACAATGTGCATACTGAAGTAAGTACTGCGCTGTTCATTTTTTTTTAAATCAAAGTTTTATGAGGACCATCGTAGTGTTTACGTTCATATAATTACTTTCGATGTTAGTTTTTTATTTATTTTTCGGTGTTTAGGTCATATGCATCACGGGTTTTTGTTAATGTGCCATAAAAGAAAATAATAACAATTTTTTTTAAATAAACAATCAAAATTTTGTGCGTGTATATTTATTCTTATTTTTTTATAAATGCATTTAGTTTAAATCTAATATCTAGGCCTATACATATATTTACATAAGTTGAAACTATTATTTCTTTTACCATTTTTAAAAGTAAAGATTTGGCTTTCACGAATAAAATTAAATCAGGCAATGATAATTTCAGGAAGCAAAAGTAGAATTCTTGTATAGAGAGTTATACAACTATGAATATCTAGTAGGCCTAGACCTTATAAACTTAGATCTAGAATCTAGATTATAAGATCTAGTTGTTGTCTTGTATATGTTTTATTAATTAAATAGCATTTCAAAACAATGTTTCTACTGTTAGACCCTCAACGTTGTCTTGTTACAGCACACGGTATTGAAGTATAAAGATTAAAGTATTAAAGAAGCAGACCTGTGCTGTACTCCTCATTTCTAGATCTAGGGCGGCTAGGCCTATAAAAAAGGGTAAACAAACAACATTGAATTGAAATGCAGTAAAATTAGTAAACTTTAGTAAAGTAAAGTCCTTTTTTTCGTTCGTGCTAATAGACTAATAGTAATACTGTCTAGATCTAGGCCCTATTCCTATTTTAGACCATTTTTTTTCGAAGTGACTACTACTCTGAAGAAGATTTTTCTCCCCAACGTCTCCACTTAGTCAGCAAAAGATAGCTCTGCGCATGCGCAGTGACCTGTGGCTAGGGTTAGGTCTAGAATGAGGGTTAGGGGTAGGATTAGGGTTAGGGATAGTGTTAGGCAGAGGGTAGGGTTTGGGATAGGATTAGTGCTAGGATTAGGGATAGAGTTAGGATTAGGGTTGGTGTTAGGGTTCTGTGGTTGTAAACACACGCATGCGCAGTACCATCGAAAACATCGCCGCGAAGGCAAGTCGTAGTTTCTCTCCATTGCACATGTGTAACGCATGCGTATCTTATTCCGGCTAGCATCAGCCATTTTTTTTTAATCACTTGTCTTTCACTCTTTGAATTTTTAAAATTAGAATTATTATATCTAGATCTATTTCTAGATCTAGTAATTTTAAGCAAATCAACGCAGTAGACATAATATAATTTTAAAGTAAGAAATTGTGGGGATTCTCAATTGTAATAATTTAATAGTGAATGGATCTTGATAAGAAGGGAAATGGCAAGGCGGTAAAATATGGGAGACTTAGGCCTACCAGCAGAATTATGCAACATTTTGGTTTCATGCACTTTGATTTTTGTTTTCTTGTCCGTGTAATAAAATTCCAACATGGTTTAGGGTTCAACGAGTTCATACTGGTTTAGAAATGTGCTGCCCAATAGCATACATCATTCATAGTATAATATAGGCCTAGAAGTCTATACATTTCTGTTTTCAAAAGCCTAGATTAGGGTGTAGATTTTCTCCAGTGTGGGAAAATAATCTACTTCCAAAATATCACCATAAAAATATTTGTCTTGTCTAAGGGACCCTTACTTAACTTACTTGTTTTTTTCTTTTTGTTTGTAAAACTAAATACTCTCTTCCACCTCTGTCAGTTCTATTCTTTTTGTGGTATCATTTTGAATTTAAAATTGTTTTTTTTCTGTCAAAATTATTACCATAAGTATTAGAATTACTTATGTTATCTTTTCTTATGTAAATCTATTGTAACTTTACTTTCTCTATTTTAAAGAGAGAGCATGTCATCAGCGTCGGGCCACAAGAGAAAGCTTTGGGAGGAGCTACCTAATACATTCACTGAGTTTGGTCCTCTTAGCTCAGATGTCAAACAAAGTGGAGGTTTCTTCTCAAGGCTCTGGAAAAAAAATAAAGGTTGGTGAAATGGATTGCCAGATTTGTGGACATAGTTTATTAAAATTCAAAGCAGTTGAAATGTGTTGCTGTTATTTAAAGTGATGTTCCAAATACATTCAAATTCCATTAAGTAAAGATAGCTGAATGTTACTTGGTTTGTAACTATAAGTTAACATTCATTTTTTTACATTGTTTTGGATTGTTAAATTCATTTGTATTGCATTTTAATTTTGGATTCACATTATTTAAAATTTTGTTATAAAAAAAATATTTTGAAAACATCTTCAGATGATGCTGGGCAATCAGTTACATCTTCCAACTCAACACTGAACGAAGACTCTGGTCAAGATGAAGATAAGCTCTCTACAGCTTCTGGGGTGGTCAGTAAAGCAAACACACCTCCCTCTAGTGTCCGGGAGTCACGACGCAACAGTGGGTCCAGTGACCTGGTTGATGGGGATGCTATCAGCATTACATCAGGTAAGCCTAGAGGTTTTACTACCTGTTTTTATAACCTAGATGCTGGTTTAAAACTATAACTCCTGGCTATTTATCCATGAGCTGTGTTTATTATATTGTGATGAATAAAAAAATAAAAAGCACATACTTGCTAAGTGCTACGAACTGGAAATTCAAAAAATAATAGTAATAGCTAACACTTAATTTTTGAAGATGTTTTTCTAATTTTGTCATAATTTTTCTGGCTCATGTAACTAGTGTTGCCACCCAAGCTAGACTGTTTAAAAAAGAAAACTATTAGTATTAGAATGTCATAAAGGGTGTAAGCAAAACTGTCTGCTACATAAACATTTATCTCATTATGAATTCTGTGGTGGTGGGATGGAAATAAAATAATGGCATTTTAACTTCAACTGCTGTTATTTTGTTCATAAGCAGATGAAGAGTTCCTCAGTTCTCACCTATTTTGTGTTTTTATAAACACAGCACTCAAATACATAAAATGAAAAAGAAAATTTGTATTACATCAACTTAATGTCAAATATCTGTTTAAAATTCCTATTGCTTTATCAAACAATTTATTTTAATTCTGGCTGTGTGTTAGAAAATTGCAATGTGTCAAAACAATTCTGGTTCCAGGAAAATTCGATCAGTCTGAGGAGGCATCAAAAAGCATTGAGAATCGTGTCCCTCACAGAAACCTGTCCAGTGTGTTAAGTCGTCTTGGCAGCATCATAGACCACCGTAGCACAGTAAGTCTTTTTAACCCTTTATCTACTGGTGTTAAAATTAATTTTACTTTCTGTATGGCCAAGTAAAGTAACAATGCATTTTCCTACCAGAATACTTTTTAAAAAATTATTAAAATAAAATCTTTAATTGGTTTAGACCCCACAGACTTACAAAGACAGTGACTTCAAACAGTATTGGATGCCAGACAGCAGTTGTCGGGAATGTTACGACTGTGGGGATAAGTTTACCATCTTTTTACGCCGCCATCATTGCCGGATATGTGGCCAGATTTTCTGCAGTAAATGCTGCAACCAAGAATTGCCAGGAAAAATAATAGGCTATAAAGGTCTGTACTTATCTGGATTTTTAAATTTCATTGAGGCTAAACATTAATACATATAAGAAATTTGGCAGTAAAATGTTTTTAGATATCTGAATTGTGCACTTAAGTAATGAATTACCGATTATTTTTTAAAATATTTTATTTCCTGCTGACTTTATTGTCTGTGTATAATTTTTAATTAACATGGTAAACTAAAGTATGTACAAATTGTTTGATGACTAGTTGTGTAATTACCTTGCAGGTGGGATCCGAGTTTGCACCTACTGTTGCAGGGTTGTCCAAAAATATGCCCAACAAAGTGCCTCTACAGGTGATTTCAGCTCCCTGGACTTGCGCGCCATATCCCAGATGTACAGGGATTCTACGGGTTATGACTTCGGCAGCCGCTCACTCTCTCCTCGTCTTACCACGGGGTTGGATGATATGACCCCACCCCTGAGGTCAGTTTGAATTTGTTCTGTTTCTGTTTTTTTATCTTTTTTTGTTAAACCTAACTATAGTTAATATACTTTATATCAAAACATTATGTTTGTTAGTAGAAACCAGCTGACCATCTTTATAGATATTTCACTGTTAAAATTTTGTTTTGACAGAGGGGACTCTCACCCTGACCTGCCTGGGCTGATTGGGGCTGACATGAGCACACCTTTTGACCTGACACCACAGTCAGAGTTCTCCAGTGAAGAGAGTCTTCTGCTGGAGAGTAGGCTGCTCATTCAGGTAGGCTGATCATTCAGGTAGGCTGCTCATTTAGGTAGGCTGCTCATTCAGGTAGGCTGGACATTCAGGTAGGCTGATCATTCAGGTAGGCTGTTTATTCAGGTAGGCTGCTCATTCAGGTAGGCTGCTCATTCAGGTAGGCTGATCATTCAGGTAGGCTGATCATTCAGGTAGGCTTCTCATTCAGGTAGGCTGATCATTCAGGTAGGATGATCATTGGTTTTATATTTGTGATTTATTAAGCTATTCAAACATAATGTGAAATGATTTTGTCTTTAAAATGTGTCACAGTTGAAAAATGCATTATTGTTTTGTTTAACCGTACAATAGATTACTTCCTCAACTAAGATCAAAACAATCCTACATGATTATAGTGCATTAATGAAAAATGATATCCTTGACGCTTGTTTCATCTGTTATTTTAATTTTGGTTTAGGACTCTGTGCAGTTGAGAGAAATCTGGCGACAAATTTGTGATGCAGAAGTTGGTGTCGAGACACAAACATTGCGCATCAGGTTACGGACACACCAGAACTGCATTGTGGGTAAAGAGCTGGTTGACTGGCTGATTAAGAAGGATAAGGCTGCAACCAGGTATGTTGTAGATATGATAGTTGACATCACTGACAGGTGTAGTTACTGACAGGTAAAGTGACTGACAGGTGTAGAGACATAACAAAAAGACTGACAGACTTAACTGCTTTTCTAGCTACGGGCTGAGTGTTAGAGCAAAAGGCAAGTGATTGCTGCATGGTGTCTCTCTTATATCATTTAAAATTATATGACTGGACCATTAGATTTTGTATTTACCATGCCATAAGAGTACAGTTCTTGATTTTTCAAATTATCCATATTTTTTTTTGCTAAAATTGTGCTTTAAATCTTTGAATTTGCATCTCTATCTGAATCACACAATAGGCATTTATATGATACTGTGTCTGTTTGCTTGTCAGAGACCAGGCTATAGCCATTGGTCAAGCCTTGCTGTTTGCCAGGTACTTGGACTCAGTTGGAAATCACCACCTTATGTTTAAAGATGACTTTACACTGTACAGACATGGGGAGGTAACAAACTCTTTTCTCTTGCTACCTACATGCTCATATCGACAATTATTATTTCAGTGTATGTTACTTCAATGCTATCAGTTCAGTTTCAGCTTGAACTAGTTCTTTAATTAATTCAAGTAATTATTTTAGCTTAAGTTTAACATCAGCAGGAAGTTTTTTAACATGTCAACTAGCACATGGTTTTACTTTAGGCTGTACTCATTTCTTTGCTTTGTGCACCTTAATTTAAAAATAATTTTCGTTATAACAGACTGCATCATCGTTTGAGATGATGGGGGATCCAGAGTCAATGCCTACAATCAGAGAGGAGCTGGAGAAAAATGAGCCCCTTTGGTTCCAGGAAATTGGCAAGTCAAATGAAGATTCTGAAGAAAGTAGTAAGTTGTTGTTTGTTTTCATATCAGGTATATCTGAATTAAAACCTTGTTTGATAACAGTAAAGTACCTTAAACTTAAAATATTTTTTTTATGACACTGAATATAAACATTTGAAATTAGCAATGTCACAATGTAAGGACCATTTTGTTTGATGTTTGGACCAGATCGAGTCAACAGTAGCAATAACAACACCTTTCTCTGGCTTGAAAGTTTGGATTATTGGGGGGGGGGGGGGGGGGTGTGTTTAGTACACAAAAGATTGTTATATTGAAGAAGCGTTGATAATAATAGCAATTTTTCATTTTGCCTTGAAAACTTGAATTTCCACCGGGGAAAAATATTTTGATGACTTCAAATTTAACATTGCACCCAGTTTTTGTCACAGACAGAACTCAGTCTGTTCCAGTCAAATTTTATTCTGTTATGTTTATGTCAAGTGTATTTTGTCCTGCTGTGAACCATGGTGACACATATTTCAGGTTCTCCACGTCCTGAAGGACACAGGTCCAGCCTCGAGTCAGATCCTCTAAAAAGTAACTCTTCTGAATCAGAGTCCAAAACAGTATTTTATATTGATACTTCCCATGGAGAGTCATCCCACAGTGGAAGCTTTTCCGAAATACCCAAAGGTGAGTCAAAGAGAAAATGTGAATTTGTTCTAACATGTTAGAGATTTATTATAGTTTTAATAAGCGAACAATGTTTTTATTGTTTTTGTTGCAGGTGTACTGATGTCTCGGGATATGGTAGAGGAGCCACTGCCCAGACAAGATTCATCAGTACATGGCTTAGGGGATGATTTTCTCAAAGGTAGGCCTATAATATATAGAAAATATTTTAAAATTTTCCATGTAAAATCTTGAGGAGGTACTTGCCAGCTGCTAGATTAAAAACATGTACCCTTTAGACTTGATAGCATGTAGGGTAAATGGTGTTCCTGCTTCTCTGACCTTGTGGATGAGAGGTTAGCATCATTCCCACCCACCTTTAATTTCATTGAGTAAGGCACACATCACAGTAGGGTGGAATGTGACACTATTAGATTTGTTACCTTTGGTATTTAATTTAAAACTAGAAGACTATGATTAGTAAAATAATACACAAACACATTTTATTTAAAACAGGTGTATTGATATAATTCATTAACATTTGTGTAAAATTCTTGAAAATGAATTTCAATTCAATGAGCATTTAACATTTAGTTAGTGGTATATTTGCCTTGCTGCTGAGAAAAAAATTATGTATAATTGTAGAACAAACAATACATTTCATAGTTTTTTAAGTGCTGTCTTGGAAAAGACAATACATACATACATTGATATTACACTAAAAAGAAAAATGCAACAAAAATAGAAACATTGATATTACATTAAAAAGGAAAATGCAACAAAAATAGAAACATTGATATTACATTAAAAAGGAAAATGCAACAAAAATAGAAACATTGATATTACATTAAAAAGGAAAATGCAACAAAAATAGAAACATTGATATTACATTAAAAAGGAAAATGCAACAAAAATAGAAACATTGATATTACATTAAAAAGGAAAATGCAACAAAAATAGAAACATTGATATTACATTAAAAAGGAAAATGCAACAAAAATAGAAACATTGATATTACATTAAAAAGGAAAATGCAACAAAAATAGAAACATTGATATTACATTAAAAAGGAAAATGCAACAAAAATAGAAACATTGATATTACATTAGCTACTGGTGTCCAACATGTCCACAACCATTTAATTTTTCAAGTCTTTTTAAAAAGATTTGTCCACAATAATGCTATGATGTGGACTTTATTGCTTTAATAACAGGCCATCTTAAGATCTCTAGTGCTATATTTGTATGAGTAGTTTATCTATTGCTGACCGATTTTATTTTACCAAATATTACCTCACCTTGTACCATGCATTAGACTAGTGATGGAACAATAGACAAGTTACTTTAATACCTTTACAGAAAACACACCAGGTGCAATTGATATACTACAAAATGAAATAGACTAAACACAGATAATTTACACAAATATAAATTTATGCTAAAGAAAATGTATAAGAGAATATAAAAAGCAAAATAATCCATAAAGGGACACAACAGCCAACCACAGACAAGCACACAGAATATTGTATATCAACTACAATATCCTACGTATGCAAGACCTGTACTGACACTTTAGCTACATAGATAACTTCTAGCCTTATTACGCAGGACCAGAGTGCTGATTTAGAAACAAAAATTGAGCTCACCCATTTCTGTAGAGGAATCTTTTTCTGCTCATTGGTCAAACACACAAACTCTATCTTAACCTTTTAACAGATGCCACAAATATGCATCAGCATGCCGATATTTTAACCTATAGTTTTATAATTAAGCTACTGACTCAATAAACAGCAAACTTAATAAATCAGTAAATAAATCTAGGTATGTCAGACTCGTTAGGTCAAACTGATGTTGTCAGTAAGACAATCTGAGCTAGTAAATATCAACAGATAATGAAGGCTGCTCAATACATACTGTTACGAAGTCATCGGTGTGCTTTGTTTTGATGGTGGTGATGATGACTGCAGTGAGAGGTTGAAATAAAACGCCAACACAATTTCAGCTGAACAACTTTAATTAAACAGATAATCAAACTACACTCTATATGATAGTCCTACTATCGTCTAAGAAAGCAGAACTAGTTCATTAATAGCGGCCGGCCTTAGGGGCCAGCCCTACCACACTTTACAAAAACACCAAAAACATGACTACATCCTCGCAAGCCTAACGTTCCACTGTCCTCTCTTTCTGGCCCAAGCTTGACCCTGGGTTCCTTAACCCCTGCATGACCCTGGCAGTCCACCGATGGGGAGGGGCGGGCATGCTAGCCTGCACATTAATAGCTAGGTGGGACAGGGATGCATTGTGTCCCAGTTCAGGTGGGGAGGGGCGGTGACACTCTGTTCTAGTTTAGGTGTGGGGGGGGGGGGAGGGGGGTAGATACCAACTACTGGTGGGACGAGGGGGGGTGGGGTAGATACCAACTAGCGGTGGGACGAGGGGGGTTGGACTCATTTATAACACATACATACACAGGAGATTCTGGAACAAACTCTGTTTTGTATTCTTGGGCATCTATGCTGGCAGCTGATGTGTCACATGATGCAGGTGTTACTACTGATTTGTCACATGATACAGGTGTTGTGACTACTGTTGTGTCACATGATACAGGTGTTGTGACTACTGTTGTGTCACATGATACAGATGTTGCTGGACTGTTACTTAAATTCGCTAAGGACTTCAACCTCTTGCGTTTTTTTGCCTCTAGAGCTTTAGTTGATTGGCGTTTTCTTCTCAGTCTGGATCTCAGAGCCATGTTTTTAGCATGTGGTTTAACTGGCGGCATAGCACTGTTGCACTGCTAAAAAAAAAAGCAAATTTTTTAAAAAGTTTGTCATGTTAAATACAATACATAGATCAAATACTAAAATAAAATAGACAGTGATTTATTACCACTCATTTATGGTGGGTGAATAAGTTTTGTTTACCTCCTAGTCACCTATAATCTATATTATTTCAACTTCACTCTACCCACACCTCTCTCCCCTTTCCCAAAAGTAGTTTTCTTCTAGGAAAGAGAACCTGCTTTCTACAGAGTTAATAAAGCTGGTTCAAGATTAAGTTCAATGATACTATTTTGTCTTCGTTAGATCTAGATTCTATAGTTTATAAAATGTATCAATGTATGTAAAAGTGTTTTAAATAACATTAAAATACAACAGTCTGATGACGATACTTTCTTCTTCCACATGACCCCCCCCCCCCCCCCCCCCCCCCCGCTGATGGATATAGATCCCCCGCTGATGGATATAGATCTAGAACAATCAATATTAGATTTGTATTATTATAATTATAGGTCACCGTCAAGACATCTAGATCTAGATCTAGATCTACTTCTAGATCTAGAAATCTAGTACTGTAAGATACAACTAAATTAGAAATTAGGGCTAATAGTATACTAAACTACTAACTACAAGACAATTAGACATCTAGTTTGTACTTACTAGATCTAGATCTACTTACACTACTTGATCTAGAATCTGGATCTAGATTCTAGTACTAGAATCTAGATCTAGAATAATCTAGATTCTAGAATATCTAAAGTTTCTAAAGTTATCGCCTGTACAAACCAACCAATCCAAACTTTCTTGATTGAGTCTTGGATAGCTTCTAGATCTAGATCTAGATCTAGTAATCTAGATCTAGATAAAGTAGATATCTACTAAATCTAGATTAGATCTAGAATAGTCTAGATTCTAGAATCTAGATCTAGGCCTAGCCGCTATTAGAATCATAGTTAGGAAATCTAGATCTAGATCTAGATCTAGATCTTATTTCTTAAGTCTTATTTCTTAAGTACTACTAATCAGCTAGATCTGAATATCTTTTTATCTAGACTCTAGATTTATCTAGATTCTAGATCTTGATCAAGAATCATAAGCTTTTCACTTATTTATTTAAGTCCCGTTAATGCGTTTATGACTATGACGCCCGGTTTTGTTATGCACAGCAAAGAAACATCTAAATACCCGCCTGAACCTAAAACTGTTAGTTACCTGGTTGTACGTAAACAAAACCATAGCAACTTCAATTTTAGTAAATATATTCAATCTATTACTACAGGGGTTCCCAACCTTTTTTTTACTCTAGTGCACATTCTAAAATATCGGTAGGGTGGCGGGCACCACCTACTTTAAATCGACAAACTGCTTCCAGAGGCGCAGCAACTCTTCCCGTCACCCGGGGACAAAACTTTCGATTAGCACCCCCCCCCCCCCCTCAAATTTTCGATTTGCATCCCCCCTCCCCTCAAACTTTTGATTTGCACCCCCCCCCCCTCAAATTTTCGATTTGCACCCCCCTCCCATCAAATTTTCGATTTGTTTATGAAAAAAATTCTGTCTCTGTCGAATAGTGAGAGGCGGGCACATAGGAATCGTTCTGCGGGCGCCATGGCATGGGGTTGGTTACCCCTGTATTACTAGATCTAGATTCTCAATATAGATCTAGATGTAATTCCTAATGACATGCTACAATTTCATTTCAAGAAAATTTGTTATAACTAAAGCATAAGTTGTGTTAAAAGTATACACACCCACTCACCCACAACATACCTTAATTAAGCTTTCTCAAATTACACACTCAAAACATCCACCATATAAATTGAATATACTGTCTCAAATTAGACACTTCAACCACCCACCACCTGTCCTAAAAACCAATTAAAGCCTTTATCGAATTACACACTTGATTATACACTTTTTTAAGTTGAACCCCCCTCGTCTCAATTTACACTGTCCGTCAATAAAAGACATCACATTTTGACTCCCTCTCTTCACCTGCAACACAATTTTATACAGCAGACCCTTCTCCCACCCACCTTCCCAAATAAATATCACAGTGCAGTTACTCCCCCTTGAAATTACTTTTCTCAATTTTCATTTTATTTTTAAAAAAGATTTAGTTGTTTTCTTTAAAGCCAGTGGAATGAACTATTATCTAACTAGCTTGATTTTGTAGAAGGCATCACTAATCACTATTTAATGCTGATAATTTTGGCAATGAGATTGATACATTTTTATTACATTTTTACACAAATAAGTCTTTAAAACAAATGTACACCAAACAAATATATAAAAAATGGACTAGACCTACATCTGTTGCACCTGTTGTTGAATAAGGCAGTTCAAAATGATGTCACTATCTCCACAACTGTGTGACCTACACTGGCAGGTCACTCACACTTATACAGCTGACTGTCCACCCAGAGCACTCTTGCTTGACCCAATTAGCCGTTAATTATCATGTGATTGGGAATGAGTTGGTCCAAGCTGTCTACCAAGGTCAAGGTAAATTGGAAAATTAAATGATTAGAAGTGCAGTGTAATTAAACACTGGCTACCTAATACATTCAGTGTGTGATGATGGCTGCATCATGTTTGGATGTAAACATGTTGGAATATACATCATGGATTAATGATGTTCACATAACTGTTTAGATATAAAATGTGTTGAATATAGGCCTGTATCATGGATATATAACATAGGATATATAAGAAATTCATTGCTTGAGCATTGTGAAGTGCAACAATGTGTGAGATATATACGGTATGACAAAAGTTATTTCTTCTTATAAGCTTGTCGTTAGGCTTTTTACTCAATTATCTCTGTGTTCACTAAACATCTTCATCTTGATGATGGGGAGAAGATGGCTATCGTTTATATATTATAGATATTTTTTAATTCTCTGATTATTCTGTTCACAAGTATTGCTCATAATGTATGATTTAAAAAATGGCAGTTTAGTTGTAAATCATTATAGTCAATGATAGTTTTGTTATAATGTATGCACAGTTCAGATATGTGCTACCTATTTAAGTAGTAAACTATTTTACAAAATTTTAAGACCCATACTAAATGATATTGCCTATTTCAGCTTTGACAGTATCTTAATTTAATTTAAACTGTATTTAAAAATTGTGTTAAAACACATTTTTCTTTGAATTGTTCTTGCTTTTCTGATTAAACCAAGTGAAATGAAAGTGAACGAAGCAATGAGTTGCTACTGCTAGCTTAACCAACCAATATCTTGATATACCGTTTCTATTTCTATGATCTGCTGTGCAGGAGTTTATTGATTGCATGCTATAACTTCTTGCTTCACCAGGTGCCCTCTTCCTTGGCAAGACCCCAATGGCCAGCCCTGATGAGTCCACTTGTCCACACGGCTGGAGGTCAGTAGAGCAGCTGAGGGAGGAGAACGGGGAGAGACTGGCCTACGACAGACTCAAGTAAGTCTTGTAGATCTTCATCATCTTGTTTGGGGGGGGGGGGAGACTGGCCTACGACAGGCTCAAGTAAGTCTTGTAGATCTTTATCATGTTGTTTGGGGAGAGGCTGGCCTACGACAGACTCAAGTAAGTCTTGTAGATCTTCATCATCTTGTTTGGGGGGGGGGGAGACTGGCCTACGACAGGCTCAAGTAAGTCTTGTAGATCTTTATCATGTTGTTTGGGGAGAGGCTGGCCTACGACAGACTCAAGTAAGTCTTGTAGATCTTTATCATGTTGTTTGGGGAGAGGCTGGCCTACGACAGACTCAAGTAAGTCTTGTAGATCTTTATCATGTTGTTTGGGGAGAGACTGGCCTACGACAGACTCAAGTAAGTCTTGTAGATCTTCATTTTGTTTGGGGGGAGACTGGCCTACGACAGACTCAAGTAAGTGTTGTAGATCTTCATCATGTTGTCTGTGGGTTTGTGGAGAGACTGGCCTACGACAGGCTCAAGTAAGTCTTGTAGATCTTTATCATGTTGTTTTGGGGGACACTGGCCTATGACAGACTCAAGTAAGTCTTGTAGATCTTCATCATGTTGTCTGTGTGATTTATCCTCTTAATCAATATCATGAATGACTGGCCATTAAGCACCAAAATGAATGAGATCACATTAGACTATCTTTAAAAGACCTAACACGTTCTTTTACTAACTAAAAGCTTGTCATTGAAAAGCTTAATCCTGACAGTACTTTATAATTACCCTTTGTTGAAAGACCTAACCCTAAGACCTGTCACTAAAAGACCTACCTTGACCTTCCAGGAAAGCCCACACAGAGCTGTGGCGTGTACTGACCAGACAACTATTGGGTCAACACAGTCTTCTGCTGAGCTGGGAGTCAGTGGTGTCCACCTCAATCACACAGGTCAGTAGTGTCCACCTCAGTCACACAGGTCAGTAGTGTCCACCTCAATCACACAGGTCAGTAGTGTCCACCTCAATCACACAGGTCAGTAGTGTCCACCTCAATCACACAGGTCAGTTGTGTCCACCTCAATCACACAGGTCAGTTGTGTCCACCTCAATCACACAGGTCAGTAGTGTCCACCTCAATCACACAGGTCAGTTGTGTCCACCTCAATCACACAGGTCAGTTGTGAATGTCAAATACAATGGCATAGAATTTATATATATATATATATATATATATTCATTCGTGTATATATATATATATATATATATATATATATATATATATATATATATATATATATATATATATATATATATATATATATATATATATATATATATATATATATATATATATATATATATATATATATATATTTATTCGTGTATATATGACACAAGTACACTGTCCATTATGGGGTTCTATCCCCTTACATTACAACACTAGTCATTAATTTTTAGGTTTTTATTATTTTATCATGGTAGCAAAAATTAGCATTTGTTAGTAAGTGTATTAAATGACAACTCACTTTTTTAGGTCAGCCATTTCGTACGTCCAGATATCAAGTTTGAGGGGGATGACATGGATATCAGAAACTATATCCACATTAAAAAGGTTTGCTCTAAATGATCAAAACTTCATGTTAAAATTTGATAACTTAGTCTTTTTTTTGTTGACTTTTTAACATTGTGTTATGGAACTAATTTAATTTAATTGATTTTCATTATCTGAGAAATTTTTAGATATACATTTATGAACTACAACATTAAAAACAAAAAGTAAATGTAATATTTTACCACCCTGCAGAAAACAAAAAAGTGAATGTAATATTTTACCACCCTGCAGAAAACAAAAAAGTGAATGTAATATTTTACCATCTTGCTGAAAACAAAAAAGTGAATGTAATATTTTACCACCCTGCAGGTGGAAACTAAAAAGTGAATGTAATATTTTACCACCCTGCAGAAAACAAAAAAGTGAATGTAATATTTTACCACCCTGCAGAAAACAAAAAAGTGAATGTAATATTTTACCACCCTGCAGAAAACAAAAAAGTGAATGTAATATTTTACCACCCTGCAGAAAACAAAAAAGTGAATGTAATATTTTACAGGTGGCAGGTGGAAGCAAATCTGAGACATCCCTGTTCCACGGGGTCATCTTCACAAAAAACATCGCACACAAGAAGATGAAGACCAACTTGATGAACCCCCTGATCCTCCTCCTGCGAGGCACCATTGAGTTTCAGAGGGTGGAGAACAAGTTCTCATCATTAGAACCCCAGATTTTACAGGTAAACTTTTCCTAGAACCCCATATTTTACAGGTAAACTTTTCCTAGAACCCCAAATTTTACAGGTAAACTTTTCCTAGAAACCCAGATTTTACAGGTAACTTTTCATAGAACCCCAGATTTTACAGGTAAACTTTTCCTAGAACCCCAGATTTTACAGGTAAACTTTTCATAAAACTCCAGATTTTACAGGTAAACTTTTCCTAGAACCCCAGATTTTACAGGTAAACTTTTCCTAGAACCCCAGATTTTACAGGTAAACTTTTCCTAGAACCCCAGATTTTACAGGTAAACTTTTCCTAGAACCCCAGATTTTACAGGTAAACTTTCTATAAAATATTGTATTGTGCTGGTAAACTTTCTCTAGAATCACAGGTTTTATGTTTAAACTCATCTTCAAGGAATAGACTTTACAGGTTTTTTTCTAAGAACCTCAGATTTTACAGGTAGGGGCCTATATATGTTGCAAAGCCAAAAAATTTAGTAGAAGTTAACTTTCAGAAAAATCTCAGAATTTGAAGTTATCATTCTAGTATCTGTACCTTTTATTTTGATATTATATGCTTATTATTCTTGTGATAGAGCTATGTGTTTGTTTCCATCCAAGGAAAGAGAATTCATGAGGAACTGTGTGATGAAGATGGTGGCGTACAGACCCAATGTTGTGGTGGTGGAGAAGTCTGTGTCTCGTCTGGCGCAGGAGTTTTTGTTGGAGGCTGGCATAACACTGCTCTATAATGTTAAACCAGTAAGTTACACACTACAGTACAATGTTAAACCGGTGAGTTACACACTGCCACACTGCTCTACAATGTTAAACCGGTGAGTTACACACTGCTCTACAATGTTAAACCTGTAAGTTACATACTGCCACACTGCTCTACAATGTTAAACCGGTGAATTACACACTGCTCTACAATGTTAAACCGGTGAGTTACACACTGCTCTACAATGTTAAACCTGTAAGTTACATACTGCCACACTGCTCTACAATGTTAAACCGGTGAGTTACACACTGCTCTACAATGTTAAACCTGTAAGTTACATACTGCCACACTGCTCTACAATGTTAAACCGGTGAGTTACACACTGCTCTACAATGTTAAACCGGTGAGTTACACACTGCTCTACAAAGTTAAACCGGTGAATTACACACTGCTCTACAATGTTAAACCGGTGAGTTACACACTGCTCTACAATGTTAAACCAGTGAGTTACACACTGCTCTACAATGTTAAACCGGTGAGTTACACACTGCTCTACAATGTTAAACCGGTGAGTTACACACTGCTCTACAATGTTAAACCGGTGAGTTACACACTGCTCTACAATGTTAAACTGGTGAGTTACACACTGCTCTACAATGTTAAACTGGTGAGTTACACACTGCTCTACAATGTTAAACCGGTGAGTTACACACTGCTCTACAATGTTAAACCAGTAAGTTACACACTGCCACACTGCTCTACAATGTTAAACCGGTGAGTTCACACTGCTCTACAATGTTAAACCAGTAAGTTACACACTGCCACACTACTCTACAATGTTAAACCGGTGAGTTCACACTGCTCTACAATGTTAAACCGGTGAGTTACACACTGCTCTATAATGTTAAACCAGTGAGTTACACACTGCTCTACAATGTTAAACCAGTGAGTTACACACTGCTCCACAATGTTAAACCAGTGAGTTACACACTACTCTACAATGTTAAACCGGTGAGTTACATACAATGTTAAACTGGTAAGTTACACACTGCTGTACAATGTTAAACCAGTAAGTTACACACTACTCTACAATGTTAAACCGGTGAGTTACACACTGCTCTACAATGTTAAACCGGTGAGTTACACACTGCTCTACAATGTTAAACCGGTGAGTTACACACTGCTCTACAATGTTAAACCAGTAAGTTACACACTGCCACACTGCTCTACAATGTTAAACCGGTGAGTTACACACTGCTCTACAATGTTAAACCAGTAAGTTACACACTGCCACACTACTCTACAATGTTAAACCGGTGAGTTCACACTGCTCTACAATGTTAAACCGGTGAGTTACACACTGCTCTACAATGTTAAACCGGTGAGTTACACACTGCTCTACAATGTTAAACTGGTGAGTTACACACTGCTCTACAATGTTAAACCGGTGAGTTACACACTGCTCTACAATGTTAAACCGGTGAGTTACACACTGCTCTACAATGTTAAACCGGTGAGTTACACACTGCTCTACAATGTTAAACCGGCTACAATGTTAAACCAGTAAGTTACACACTGCTCTACAATGTTAAACCGGTGAGTTACACACTGCTCTACAATGTTAAACCGGTGAGTTCACACTGCTCTACAATGTTAAACCAGTAAGTTACACACTGCCACACTACTCTACAATGTCAAACCGGTGAGTTCACACTGCTCTACAATGTTAAACCGGTGAGTAACACACTGCTCTACAATGTTAAACCAGTGAGTTACACACTGCTCTACAATGTTAAACCAGTGAGTTACACACTGCTCCACAATGTTAAACCGGTGAGTTACACACTACTCTACAATGTTAAACCGGTGAGTTACATACAATGTTAAACTGGTAAGTTACACACTGCTGTACAATGTTAAACCAGTAAGTTACACACTGCCACACTGCTCTACAATGTTAAACCGGTGAGTTACACACTGCTCTACAATGTTAAACCGGTGAGTTACACACTGCTCTACAATGTTAAACCGGTGAGTTACACACTGCTCTACAATGTTAAACCGGTGAGTTACACACTGCTCTACAATGTTAAACCAGTAAGTTACACACTGCCACACTGCTCTACAATGTTAAACCGGTGAGTTACACACTGCTCTACAATGTTAAACCGGTGAGTTACACACTGCTCTACAATGTTAAACCGGTGAGTTACACACTGCTCTACAATGTTAAACCAGTAAGTTACACACTGCCACACTGCTCTACAATGTTAAACCGGTGAGTTCACACTGCTCTACAATGTTAAACCAGTAAGTTACACACTGCCACACTACTCTACAATGTTAAACCGGTGAGTTCACACTGCTCTACAATGTTAAACCGGTGAGTTACACACTGCTCTACAATGTTAAACCGGTGAGTTACACACTGCTCTACAATGTTAAACTGGTGAGTTACACACTGCTCTACAATGTTAAACCGGTGAGTTACACACTGCTCTACAATGTTAAACCGGTGAGTTACACACTGCTCTACAATGTTAAACCGGTGAGTTACACACTGCTCTACAATGTTAAACCGGTGAGTTACACACTGCTCTACAATGTTAAACCGGTGAGTTACACACTGCTCTACAATGTTAAACTGGTGAGTTACACACTGCTCTACAATGTTAAACTGGTGAGTTACACACTGCTCTACAATGTTAAACCAGTAAGTTACACACTGCCACACTGCTCTACAATGTTAAACCGGTGAGTTACACACTGCTCTACAATGTTAAACCGGTGAGTTACACACTGCTCTACAATGTTAAACCGGTGAGTTACACACTGCTCTACAATGTTAAACCGGTGAGTTACACACTGCTCTACAATGTTAAACCAGTAAGTTACACACTGCCACACTGCTCTACAATGTTAAACCGGTGAGTTACACACTGCTCTACAATGTTAAACCGGTGAGTTACACACTGCTCTACAATGTTAAACCGGTGAGTTACACACTGCTCTACAATGTTAAACCAGTAAGTTACACACTGCCACACTGCTCTACAATGTTAAACCGGTGAGTTCACACTGCTCTACAATGTTAAACCAGTAAGTTACACACTGCCACACTACTCTACAATGTTAAACCGGTGAGTTCACACTGCTCTACAATGTTAAACCGGTGAGTTACACACTGCTCTACAATGTTAAACCGGTGAGTTCACACTGCTCTACAATGTTAAACCGGTGAGTTACACACTGCTCTACAATGTTAAACCGGTGAGTTACACACTGCTCTACAATGTTAAACTGGTGAGTTACACACTGCTCTACAATGTTAAACCGGTGAGTTACACACTGCTCTACAATGTTAAACCGGTGAGTTACACACTGCTCTACAATGTTAAACCGGTGAGTTACACACTGCTCTACAATGTTAAACTGGTGAGTTACACACTGCTCTACAATGTTAAACCGGTGAGTTACACACTGCTCTACAATGTTAAACCAGTAAGTTACACACTGCCACACTGCTCTACAATGTTAAACCGGTGAGTTCACACTGCTCTACAATGTTAAACCAGTAAGTTACACACTGCCACACTACTCTACAATGTTAAACCGGTGAGTTCACACTGCTCTACAATGTTAAACCGGTGAGTTACACACTGCTCTATAATGTTAAACCAGTGAGTTACACACTGCTCTACAATGTTAAACCAGTGAGTTACACACTGCTCCACAATGTTAAACCGGTGAGTTACACACTACTCTACAATGTTAAACCGGTGAGTTACATACAATGTTAAACTGGTAAGTTACACACTGCTGTACAATGTTAAACCAGTAAGTTACACACTACTCTACAATGTTAAACCGGTGAGTTACACACTGCTCTACAATGTTAAACCGGTGAGTTACACACTGCTCTACAATGTTAAACCGGTGAGTTACACACTGCTCTACAATGTTAAACCAGTAAGTTACACACTGCCACACTGCTCTACAATGTTAAACCGGTGAGTTCACACTGCTCTACAATGTTAAACCAGTAAGTTACACACTGCCACACTACTCTACAATGTTAAACCGGTGAGTTCACACTGCTCTACAATGTTAAACCGGTGAGTTACACACTGCTCTACAATGTTAAACCGGTGAGTTACACACTGCTCTACAATGTTAAACCGGTGAGTTCACGTTGCCACACTACTCTACAATGTTAAACGGGTGAGTTCACACTGCTCTACAATGTTAAACCAGTAAGTTACACACTGCCACACTACTCTACAATGTTAAACCGGTGAGTTCACACTGCTCTACAATGTTAAACCGGTGAGTAACACACTGCTCTACAATGTTAAACCAGTGAGTTACACACTGCTCTACAATGTTAAACCAGTGAGTTACACACTGCTCCACAATGTTAAACCGGTGAGTTACACACTACTCTACAATGTTAAACCGGTGAGTTACATACAATGTTAAACTGGTAAGTTACACACTGCTGTACAATGTTAAACCAGTAAGTTACACACTGCCACACTGCTCTACAATGTTAAACCGGTGAGTTACACACTGCTCTACAATGTTAAACCGGTGAGTTACACACTGCTCTACAATGTTAAACCGGTGAGTTACACACTGCTCTACAATGTTAAACCGGTGAGTTACACACTGCTCTACAATGTTAAACCAGTAAGTTACACACTGCCACACTGCTCTACAATGTTAAACCGGTGAGTTACACACTGCTCTACAATATTAAACCGGTGAGTTACACACTGCTCTACAATGTTAAACCGGTGAGTTACACACTGCTCTACAATGTTAAACCAGTAAGTTACACACTGCCACACTGCTCTACAATGTTAAACCGGTGAGTTCACACTGCTCTACAATGTTAAACCAGTAAGTTACACACTGCCACACTACTCTACAATGTTAAACCGGTGAGTTCACACTGCTCTACAATGTTAAACCGGTGAGTTACACACTGCTCTACAATGTTAAACCGGTGAGTTACACACTGCTCTACAATGTTAAACTGGTGAGTTACACACTGCTCTACAATGTTAAACCGGTGAGTTACACACTGCTCTACAATGTTAAACCGGTGAGTTACACACTGCTCTACATTGTTAAACCGGCTACAATGTTAAACCAGTAAGTTACACACTGCTCTACAATGTTAAACCGGTGAGTTACACACTGCTCTACAATGTTAAACCGGTGAGTTCACACTGCCACACTACTCTACAATGTTAAACGGGTGAGTTCACACTGCCACACTGCTCTACAATGTTAAACGGGTGAGTTCACACTGCCACACTGCTCCACAATGTTAAACTGGTCACTTACACAATGTGGTCTAGAACATTATACATTAACAGAAAGGTTCCTTATGTGGCCAGATACTGTTAGCAGTTTTGTGGCCATATAGACAGTTGGGTTTTGCGGCCATATAGACAGTTGGGTTTTGCGGCCAGAATAATAGTGGGGATTTTGTGAATGAATAAACATCTGGAGTTATGTGGACAGAAATTTAGGGATTTGTGTCTTTCAGACAAGGGTGTTTTGTGGCTGAATATTTCGTAGCGTTATGTGGCCAGAATAACTGAGGAGTTGTGGCCAAATGTAGTGGTGTTTCATTGCCAGATATAATTGAATTTTGTGGCCAGATACATTGTGTTTTGTAGCCAGAAACACTCTTTTTTTTTTTGCACAGAAACAAATGGTTTTTATTGCCAGGTAGAATTATATGTTTTTGTGGCCAGATACAATATAGTTTTTTGGTCAGATACAATAGGGTTTTGTGTCCAGATACTTGGTTCTATCTCTATCTCAGAGCTCTTTATTCCAGAGTGTGATGGAGAGGCTTGCTAGGTTCACCCAGGCTGACATTGTGCCATCAATTGATGGGCTGGTCAGTAAACCCAAAATGGGCTTCTGTCATGACTTTAGGGTACAGACCTACAACCTCCCTAACAGTGAGTAAACATCCTTGTATCAGATTCAAGTTTTAGACACATACCATTTGTAATAGTATTGCACTGACTTGAAATAAAAATCATGAGGATGGGCAACCACTCCTTGAGTACAGTAATATACAGACCACAGATCCAAATTTAAAGTAATGATAGAGTACATTATTTTTTATTAGAGAAGTATTTATTCTTGTAGTAGATTGAAGTGGTGTATGTTTAGAGTTAACGTTTCAACCCTACACATTTATAGATCGTAGATCACAGATTTTTACTGAAATTAAAATATGTAAATCAGTCTTGATCCTCCTTAAATTTAACTCCCCAGCAGTGCTTCAAACTAATCAGTGCACACATTTTTATCACATTGATTACCACTGATTACTGATCTAATTACCTGTAACTTCCAACAGAAGAGACCAAAACACTGGCTATCTTTGATGGCTGTGCTACACACCTGGGATGTACCATTGTGCTGCGTGGTGGGACACAGAGCGAACTCAGAAAGGTACGTCCATCACCAGACACTGTGTAATCCTATACTTTCACGTTTTGTCCATACAACACAATGTATTTTGTAAAGCAAGAGATGATATGTTTTGTTTTGATTTCAAGTTTTGTTTTACAGAAAAATATTAAAACAAAAAGTTGAGAAATAATGATACAATTATCTGATATAATGTCCTATTTGCAACTTGACTAAGTCCTGTAATGTCCTCCATGTGTCCTACCAGGTGAAGCATGTCCTGAAGTTTATGTCCTACACTGCTTACAACTCTCTGCTAGAACTGGGCTTCTGTATGGATGAGTTTGCCTTACCCCAGCCAGGAGCTGATGAGATAGGACAACCATTTGAAGGTCTGGACACCTCACAGGACGTCACAACTTACGGGTAATGTACAGCAATCAGTTAGTGCTGTAGTTTAATTTGAAAAAGTTATCTGTAAATAATTTACAGCAATCAGTGTTGTAGTTAAGTTTGAAAAAGTTATCTGTAAATAATTTACAGCAATCAGTTAGTGGTGTAGTTTAGTTTGAAAAAGTTATATGTAAATAATTTACAGCAATCAGTTAGTGTTGTAGTTTAATTTGAAAAAATTATCTGTAAATAATGTATTGCAATCAGTTAGTGGTGTAGTTTAATTTGAAAAAGTTATCTGTAAATAATTTAAAGCAATTAGTTAGTTGTAGTTTAGTTTGAAAAAATTATCTGTAAAATATTTACAAAAATTCAATTAGTGTTGTAGTTAAGTTTGAAAAAATAATCTGTAAATAATATACAGCAATCAGTTAGTTTTGTAGTTTAGTTTAAAAAAGTTATCAGTAAATAATATACAGTAATCTCAGTTAGTTTTAGTTTAGGTTGAAAAAATAATCTGTAAATTATTTACAGCAATCAATTAGTGTTGTAGTAAAGTTTGAAAAAATAATCTGTAAATAATATAAGGCAATCAGTAAGTGTTGCAGTTCAATTTTAAAAAACTATCTGTAAATAATTTACAAAAATTCAATTAGTGTTGTAGTTTAATTTTAAAAAACTATCTGTAAATAATTTACAAAAATTCAATTAGTGTTGTAGTTTAATTTTGAAAAAATAATCTGTAAATAATTTACAAAAATTAAATTAGTGTTGTATTTTAATTTGAAAAAATTAATCTGTAAATAATATATACAGGGTAATTGAATGAAAGTAATTGAAACATTTTTACAGCATTAGAAGTGAGGATGTGTCTAAGAAAACCCAAGCCTTGGAAGATGTGGACGCTGAAGATGTAGTAGACAGGAAATGTTTTGATGCCAGAAGTGTCGACTCCATCTCGCTGGAGGACATTAGCGAGGCTGCTGATATGTACCAGGTGGGGTACAGGCAGGGGGAGAAAACACAGGTCAGGCTGAATGGTGAGGAGGGTGAACTTGACCTGAACCTTGACCCCACTAGTGAGGCAAAGGGTGCCTGCTTGTCTGTGGAGACCAGTGGTGTACAGAGCAATAAGGTTGTAGAGTCAAGTGGTTCTCAAGCTGTTCAAGGCAGCCACCCACAGGTTGTTAAAGCTGATGGTCAGGGGACTCACGGTGTTGAATTAGCTGGACTTAACTTTCAGGTGATTGCGGATACACCTGTGTCACATGTCAAAGGTTATCCTGACACAGCTCCAGCCCTAACTACACAGGTGCAAGCAGCCAATGTACCAGAGTACACACAAGCTAACCTGTGTGCTGATATCATGAGTGCTGAGCTCAATCTGCCTGACGAGGATTACTTCAGGGCTAACACAGACCCCATTGACGAGTCCAACAGACCCAACTCCGCCACTGGGTCCTCAGACTTCCTGTCTGTCAGTTCCAGCCAGAGAGAAAAGAGCCGACACCCTAGTGGGGTTTCATCCGTATGCTGCACTGAGGGGCCGTCGGGCCGCAGCACGCCGGAGTACGTGTTCAAGTCCAACTTGTCAGACGACGGCTCGTGGGACGGAGCCCCAAAAGTGATCGCCAACATCATGTGTGTCATCCCCAAGTCAGCCGTGGTCAAACTCCCGTCGGACTCCGCCGCGCAAGTTGACGCCAAACCTCGCAGGACATCAGATGCTGACCATCAGAGAGATCTGAGTAGACAGGCCAAGTTAGATTCCTCGTCCTCCGACCTGCTGACCCACAACCTTGACCCTGACGTCATGGAATCTGGTGACGCTGGGAAAGAAAACAAAGACAAAAATGAGAAGAAAACGTCAAAGTTGACTGAACTCACAGACTGCAGTGATCCGCTGCAACTCTACCAAAACACTCAGGACGAGTCCGTCTTCCATTCCACCAACCCCCACAAGATGGCACTAAAGGAGATCAAGCAGACCAAGTACAAAACATTCCGCAAAGCCCTGGACGGCGTCCACCTCTCCGTGTCCCCATACCACAAGTACTCGGTGCCATTCATAGAGACAGATAAAGGATCCAGGTGTGCTGTGAGGAAGTACCTGCCTGATGAGATTTTCTGGTCAAGTCTGTTTGATGGGGAGGCAGGCCAGAGGTTGTCCAAGACAAAGCTGGTGGATGTAGACGTGTCATCCAAAGCTTTGAATAAAAGCAACATACAGATGCTGCAGCCCCATAACTTGATCAACTGTAACCTGACAGAACCCATTTGGGAGAATAACATTCAGGTCAGTTCAGAGATACCTTTAGCGCTTACAAGTAACGATTGAAGTAACCTTTTCATAACATTTAAGATAAGTGTTGAATAAGTAGAGTGAATCTGTTTTTGTTTATGACATGAAGGGATTTTGTGTCTACAATTCCCTTTCCCCAACTTAGGCTAGGTACTGATTTGTGCTGTGAGCTCTGAGAAGCTCATTGGCTAGTTCAAGACCTTCTTGCTAGTGTTTAAGTACCTATGCCACAAGATGTTTAGTGAATCTAATACATTTGTAGGAGTTCTCTGCAATAAGAATTTTTTTCTGTAATTTTAAAGAAAGTCTTGGCAGACTTCCGTGCCAGAGGTGGCTGTATCCAGGTGGTCAATGGGCACACAGGCAGACAGTCACAGCCTGAAGTGACCAGCAAGAAGGGGGAGGATACTCTCAATGATTCCCTGAATTTTGGAACTTTCTGGGAGAAAAAGGTAAGAAATGTTTATAAATATAAAACAGTTACTCTAAAATATTTTTATTTTAAAATCAGTTCTCAATCTATGTTAACAATCATTGACATATTTTTTAAACATAAATAATCCCAAGCAATTGTCGGTATCTTTTTTACTAATGATAAACTAATTCAATTTTTTTTTAATCTATTTTATACACTTTACGTCTATAGTAGTAAATTTGGTCATGCTCTTTAACGTTAGTGGTTTTTTTTTTTGGTTTTTAATTAGTGCTTTTTTAAAATTAATTTTTTATTAATTGTCATTGGTACTTAATTTTCTAACTTTATTGATCAGACAGACTGCCTGGACCCCATGAACCACCAGAGGCTGCTTGTCTTGTTTAGCAGCTACTCCTATAAGTCAGCCAACCACCCCTACCCCTGTGTGTACCCTTGGTGAGTAGACCAATTGACAAGCATAGCTATAAAAATAGCCATTACCTAAGATGTACTACAGCTAAACTAAATAAAAAACCCGATAAAATGCAACTGTTGAATCTTGTACTTTTCTCATGCAGGATTGTAAATATGGAGTTCTATGGACGCAATGACATCACACTTGGAGGTTTCCTTGAGAGATTCTGTTTTAGGTAGGTCTAAGAAAACTCGTTAGACTTCATATTTACCATACACAGTATATCCTGCCCTTCACCTGTCTTTTCTACACCTATGACAGTTGCTGTCATTGATCTATGACCTTTCACCCCTAGGCCTCAGTATATCCTGCCCTTCACCTGTCTTTTCTACACCTATGACAGTTGCTGTCATTGATCTATGACCTTTCACCCCTAGGCCTCAATATTCCTGCCCTTCACCTGTCTTTTCTACACCTATGACAGTTGCTGTCATTGATCTATGACCTTTCACCCCCAGGCCTCAATATTCCTGCCCTTCACCTGTCTTTTCTACACCTATGACAGTTGCTGTCATTGATCTATGACCTTTCACCCCCCAGACCTCAGTATTCCTGCCCCTCACCCACCTGTGACTCACCTATGACTGACCACGTGCGTAGATTTGTCCATGGCAATGCCTGCATCAACCTCCTGCTTAAGAAACTGGACAATGAAGTGCCTGGAGGGAAGGAGAACATTTTCATGTGGAGTTGGTGCAAGAAGTGTAAACAGGTTGGTGTGCAACTAATGTAAACAGGTTGGTGTGCCACTAATGTAAACAGGTTGGTGTGCCACTAATGTAAACAGGTTGGTGTGCCACTAATGTAAACACTGTCTGCAAGAAATATCAACAAGTTGGTATGCAGGAAATATAAACTGGTTGTATGCAAGAAATGAAATCAAATTTTTGAGCAAGAAATTTAAACAGTTGAGTGTAAAAATGTGATCAAAATGAAACAAGGGTCTATGTTTTCAAAAAGTGTAAGATCAAACTTTAACAGCCTTTCATATCCCATTGTACAGGAAGGGAAATATACCATCATTGAATAAATAATAAAAAATATCTGTCTTACAGGTGACCCCAGTTGTACCTATCAGCCATGACACCTGGAGTCTGTCCTTTGCCAAGTACCTTGACCTTCGCTTCCATTCCTCCTCCTTCTACAGACGTGGGTCAGCTGAGCCGTGCCTTCACTCCCTCCATCACGACCACTTCCAGTACTTTGGCCACCGTAATATTGTCGCCTCCTTCAAGTCAGTTTTTTTTAACGTAGCCTTGTTTTTAATTTCCTTTTAAATGTTAAACATTCATCTGTAATCTTCTCAGGCAGTTATTGATCGATTGTAACAAAATTTTAAAAATAATTTTAATGTTCTCTTATATCATAACCCAAGTCCTATTATCTCTTGTCATAATCTATAATTATCATCTATGGTTTTTAACCTCAGTTGTCATCTAAGGCTATAATAGTCTCATTCACTCATCAACACACCCATAAACTCCTGGTGCACCTTATAATCCCCCACTCACCTGATATGCACCTACTCTCCAGGTTTGCCACTATCTCTCTAAAAGAGCTGTCACTTCCTCCAGCCACATTGACCATACGACCTCCGACCTTTGATGTTATTGGTCTGGGAGAGACAGTTAAAACAGTCACCTGCAGGTACCAGCTACATTTTTAGCTTAACCCTCAAGCTTTTTATCCTCACTTAGCTTTGTGGTGCAAATATTGAATAGAATCGTAATTTACTAATAACTAAATCAAGACTGTTTTTTTTTCGTCTTACATTGTAATTGTATGATTATGATAAAACTAGGTGCATCTTGCCACAGAAAAATCAGTACTGACACTATTATTAATCTTCCCCTCCCCCCAGGGCCATGGAAAGGTACAGCCTAATGCTAGAGAACACCATGAAGGTCAAGCAGGACTACCCAGAGGCTCCTGTCAATGACATGTTGGCTGAACAACAGGTAGACACCTTGTTTGCTGGCTGTATCATGTGTCGTTTTTTAAACAGATTTTAATATAGCTGTACCAGCTGTGTTATCCTTCACTGTTCTAACAGAATTTAAACACATTATCGACATAAGTCGTAGGATTAATTTTCATATTTAATTTAATATATATTTTACAAACCTACATATTATTTATATTAAGTGCAACTTAAGTGTCTAGTGACAATAAAGTTACATGACAGTTTTAAGCCATGATATAAATATATGTTTGATATCTTTTTATAAACTTCAATTTGTTGAAAGGCTGTTTAAATTATAAAATTGAAACATCAAAATTTCTTGACTGATTGACTTATGATTATGACGCTTAAGTTAGTCTATTTAAAGTTTTGCTATTTCTTTGCCCACCAGACAGACAAGAGAACCTTCCGAGACTCAGCCACCAACATCCAGCTAAAGATTCAGGAGCTGGTCAACTGTGTGACATCTTCAGCACCCACTGGACCCACTGGTCAGTTGCTTAACTCTTTTTACAATTGTGGTTATATTTTTTTAATTTATTTAGTTTAATGGTTATCTATTGGAGAAGTATTTTAAATTTGTTTTAAATCACTGCTTTGTATGGAAGTAAAATATTGAAATGCCACTACATTGTGAGAAGATTGTCTGTTTAACATTTGTTTAGACTGTGACATGAGCTTCCACCTGTATTCCATTTTTGACAACATTGAGCTCTTGAAGAGGAAAATTACTGAAGATGTAGTCAAGTGGAACACAAAGTCAGTAGATTTTTTTTACCACACTTATAAAACTGGTTTAAAATTAATGTTTTAATTTGGTTTTATAACCTATTTTCTAATAGGCAACAACACATGTTTAGCACTTTAAAGGCAATGTTTAATTTTGTTTTTCATTGCCTTTCTAAAGAAGATCATTAGAAAAGGTTGTGTTTAATCTGCAGTGTATGTCATATGTAAAGTTAAAATCTTTATTCCCAGGATGCAAGAGTTGTTGAGCTCCCAGCAAATGTTTAATCTACTTTGTATGCCATGTAAAGTTAAAATCTTTGTTCCTAGGATGCAAGAGTTGTTGAGCTCCCAGCAGAAGAAAAACAAAGCACAGACCACCAAGAAGGACAGGGAGTCTGGGAATCTGGCTGATGAGGTAGTGTCTTAAAAAGTGTCTGGGTTTGCCATGGTTAAGTCATTAAGACAGGCTAATTCATTTGTCAGGTTAAGTTTGATTAAATCAATTGTTAAGTCAGGCTAAATTGTTTAAGTCAGGCTAAATCAATAGTTAGGTGAAGTCAGGCTAAATCATTTGTCAGGTCAGGGTATGTCTGACTTGGTAGCAGTAAGTCAAGCTACATCCTAGTCATCAGGGAAAGTAAAGGTGGCTGGCCATAGTGCTGACCACACTATCCCTTTATATGCTAATGTAACAATTACTGGATAACACTATGGGCCTCTAGGTCCAAAGAGTAGCTTTACTATTTGTAAAGTTTACTGCTGTAGACATTGGCTACTAAACCTTGTAACTTTACTATTTGTAAAGTTTACTGCTGTAGACATTGGCTACTAAACCTTGTAACTTTACTATTTGTAAAGTTTTCTGCTGTAGACATTGGCTACTAAACCTTGTAACTTTACTATTTGTAAAGTTTACTGCTGTAAACACTGGCTACTAAACCTTGTAACTTTACTATTTGTAAAGTTTACTGCTGTAAACAATGGCGACTACACCTTGTAACTTTACTTTCCTGCTCTCATGTCATCTAATGCTACCTTAGCCATTAGGTAGCCAGAGCCCACTGATCTAATTCAAACATTGGCAACTGTTACTAGTTAAACATTTCTGTTCCTCCTCCCCTCCCCCTCAGCTTGAGAAATCCATGAAACTCTCTGACCGTAGCCTGACAAAAAGTCTTCCAGTGGTGCCGCCAGCAACTCCGCCAGTTGTACAGCGGACAACAAGTGTGAGTGGGGAGACGGTCAACCCCGCAGTGGACGATGGTATGTACTCTCTTGTTGACCCCTCTGTACCAAACCATAACATGGTTAACCCTGGCCCTAACCCATGCTCCTAACCCATGCTCCTAACCCATGCCCCTAACCAATGCCCCTAACCCTGCCCCTAACCCATGCCCTTAACATACAATCACAGTCTAATCTAGCCTTGTATGCTACTTCAAACTAAATGTTACATTTTAACTGCTGTTGCTATCATACTTACAATGTTTACCATTAATATATCAGTTAAACAAAGCCCTAAAGCTAAACATTTGTTGTAGTAAATTTGTGAGGTATGAACGTTAGCTTGGTATGATACACTTTTATTTTGTGGCTTAGTTTTGATGCTCAATATATGATAAAATTATTTTAAAAAAAACCTTCAACCAGGTGCAGGACCAGAGGTCATCAAGCCCAGTCAGCTGCCAGTGGACAGTGCTGAGGTCATGTCGACCTTGTTATTGTCTGTGGGGTCAGGGTCAGCTCAACCTGAAGGTGAGCTCACTTGTGCTACATGGTAGCAGTGGGTTTAATCAGTTAAGGGCTACATGGTAGCAGTGGGTTTAATCTGTCTATGGCTACATGGTAGCAGTGGGTTAATCAGTCTATGGCTACATGGTAGCAGTAGGTTTAATCTGTCTATGGCTACATGGTAGCAGTGGGTTTAATCTGTCTATGGCTACATGGTAGCAGTGGGTTAATCAGTCTATGGCTACATGGTAGCAGTAGGTTTAATCTGTCTATTGCTACATGGTAGCAGTGGGTTTAATCTGTCTATGGCTACATGCTAGCAGTAGGTTTAATCTGTGGCTAAATGGTAGCAGTGGGTTAATCAGTCTATGGCTACATGGTAGCAGTAGGTTTAATCTGTCTATGGCTACATGGTAGCAGTAGGTTTAATCTGTCTATGGCTACATGGTAGCAGTGGGTTTAACCTGTCTATGGCTACATGGTAGCAGTAGGTTTAATCTGTCTATGGCTACATGGTAGCAGTGGGTTAATCAGTCTATGGCTACATGGTAGCAGTAGGTTTAATCTGTCTATGGCTACATGGTAGCAGTGGGTTAATCAGTCTATGGCTACATGGTAGCAGTAGGTTTAATCTGTCTATGGCTACATGGTAGCAGTAGGTTTAATCTGTCTATGGCTACATGGTAGCAGTGGGTTAATCAGTCTATGGCTACATGGTAGCAGTAGGTTTAATCTGTCTATGGCTACATGGTAGCAGTAGGTTTAATCTGTCTATGGCTACATGGTAGCAGTGGGTTAATCAGTCTATGGCTACATGGTAGCAGTAGGTTTAATCTGTCTATGGCTACATGGTAGCAGTAGGTTTAATCTGTCTATGGCTACATGGTAGCAGTGGGTTAATCAGTCTATGGCTACATGGTAGCAGTAGGTTTAATCTGTCTATGGCTACATGGTGGTAGTGGGTTAATCAGTCTATGGCTACATGGTAGCAGTAGGTTTAATCTGTCTATGGCTACATGGTAGCAGTGGGTTTAATCTGTCTATGGCTACATGGTAGCAGTGGGTTAATCAGTCTATGGCTACATGGTAGCAGTAGGTTTAATCTGTCTATGGCTACATGGTAGCAGTGGGTTTAATCTGTCTATGGCTACATGGTAGCAGTGGGTTTAATCTGTCTATGGCTACATGGTAGCAGTGGGTTAATCAGTCTATGGCTACATGGTAGCAGTAGGTTTAATCTGTCTATGGCTACATGGTAGCAGTAGGTTTAATCAGGCTATTGCTACATGGTAGCAGTGGGTTTAATCTGTCTATGGCTACATGGTAGCAGTAGGTTTAATCAGGCTATGGCTACATGGTAGCAGTGGGTTTAATCACTATCTTATTCTTATTTGAACATTATTTTCAGTTTAACAAAACTACTATCACGCTTCAGTTGATCATAGATTGTCATTAATGATTGTTTTTAAATAAAATGTTTTAGCATTACATGACTATCTGGATCTTTAATGATCTCCTCAATGTATTCTTGCAGCTCTAGATGACAACACAGATGGCTGGTTCCAGGACTTGAAAGGTGTCACCAGGAGATGGCTGTCTACAACATCATTTGTACCTGTTCCCTTACCTTTGTGAGTAGCTCATGCTTGGTCTCTTTAACATTGTCATTGGTTCACACGTTCCCTTACCTTTGTGAGTACTAAATACCTGTTCCCTTACCTTTGTGAGTACTAAATACCTGTTCCCTTACCTTTGTGAGTACTAAATACCTGTTCTCTTACCTTTGTGAGTACTAAATACCTGTCCCCTTACCTTTGTGAGTACTAAATACCTGTTCTCTTACCTTTGTGAATACTAAATACCTGTTCCCTTACCTTTGTGAGTACTAAATACCTGTTCCCTTACCTTTGTGAGTACTTAATACCTGTTCCCTTACCTTTGTGAGTACTAAATACCTGTTCCCTTACCTTTGTGAGTACTAAATACCTGTTCTCTTACCTTTGTGAATACTAAATACCTGTTCCCTTCCCTTTGTGAGTACTAAATACCTGTTCCCTTACCTTTGTGAGTACTAAATACCTGTTCCCTTACCTTTGTGAGTACTAAATACCTGTCCCCTTACCTTTGTGAGTACTAAATACCTGTTCCCTTACCTGTGTAAGTACATCTTGCCTGTTTTCGAACTTTGTCATTGTTTCATACATGTTCCGTTACTTCCATGAGTACATGTGCTTGTTTTTCCTACTTTGCAAGAACTTCATACATGTTCCGTTACCATAATCAGTACTTTGTGGACATATTTATCCCCATTTATAATATCTATTTAATTTACTGCCTTCCATGTAAGCTACCTATGTCCTACACACTAATGTCGTTTTCTGTTAGTTTTGAATTTTTAAAAATTTACTTAATAAGCTGCTAGTTTCTCTTATTTGATCAAGTAATATGTAATTGACCCCAAACTGACCATGTGTAATTACACATGTACAGTAAAGAGAGAATTGCTATTGTTGTGTAATTGATCATGTAATGTGTAAGTGACCTTCACCTTACCTATATAATTGTACAGTGAAGCAAGTGAGCACCACACACTTCCTATGTGTGAGAGAGTTCCTATAGTCATCTATGACAATGAGCCAAGCTCCATTATAGCCTATGCCTTGAGGTGAGTACACCATCCCCCCACTAATCTACTCATAGGCAGCACTTAGCGCTTAAGGTGAGTACACATAATCTTGATGCATATTTGCCTCACACCATCCACCCCACTAATCTACTCATACAGTCAGCACCTAACCTAGTCTTACCAACACCAACACAATTATTGAAAGCACTTCTACAAAATTACCTCAACATATAAACACACCATAACACTACATTGTGTATGTATTTCATTACTCTCATTACTTATGTCTGTGATTTGCATTTAATTTTTCTAAACCATATTACTAGAATGAAAGTTTGTGTGTTCCATTTGGCTTGTAGAGACAAAATTTAACTTTTAAATACTTTTATCCCCAGTTCCTCAGATTATCTGTGCTGTCTAAGGGAGCTTCACAAGAAGTCCCACATCTCAGAGGCTGTGGGGTGAGTTTGTACACTCTTCAACTTCAGTTAGGCTAGTCATGATACAGGTTTAAAGTTGCATCAGTAGATCACAATTCAACATCACATAAACATTACCACAACATGTGCCCTGTAATTAGTTAAATATTTCTTGTACTACAAGAAGACTAACTGATGTATTGTAGTACAAGAAAACTGATGTATTGTAGCACAAGAAGACTAACTGATGTATTGTAGTACAAAAAGATTAACAGATGTAGTTTAGTACAAGAAGACTAGCTAATGTATTGTATTACTAAAAAACTGATGTATTGTAGTACAAGAAGACTAACTGATGTATTGTACTACAAAAAGATTAACTGATGTATTGTACTACAAAAAGATTAAATGATGTATTGTAGTACAAGAAGACTAACTGATGTATTGTACTACAAGAATAACTGATGCACTGTAGTACAAGGAGACTAACAAATGTATTGTACTACAAAAAGACTAGCTGATATATTGTAGTACTAAAAAACTGATGTATGTTACAGATCTCAGAGCAACAAGACATCCACCAAACCAGCAGATTCAGGAAATGTTCCGTTCATGACCTCTGACCTGACACCTGAACAAGGTAACCACACCTACTTTCTGTAACTCACCTGCACTATGGTTCCAACTGGGCAACTTTTAACAAAATATTAATGGATTGGAAATTTATGTTTGTATCTGATTGAACATATTTTGAACAACTTAGAAGTAGAATGGTAGAAAATCTATTTGCTGATGCGAAAGGTGTAAGTTTTTTAAATCATAGCAGAAGTGTGGCTCAAACCAGCAGGAAGATGGGGCATTCCTTGGGGTCTGGTCATGTGACCTCAGCAGTCTGATGTCAAGGCAGCTGGTCATTGCTCCAGCCTCACATTCCTTGGTTCGCCCATGCAACTAGGTCAACTGCCATCATGTGGAGGCCACTGCTCCAAGAGAGTTTTATTGTTGTGACACAATAGATTGAGCACACAGAATAAGCGTAAACTTTTGATCAACTAATGTTGACTGTTTAAGATAGTGTTACCAATATCATCTAAAGATCAACATCTGCTGACTTGAATCATGTAATTGTTGCAGCTTTTGGTTCATTTAATGAGGATAATGTTATCAGGTATTGGGGCTAAAATGGTTTTTATCAACACAGTCTCAGTGGGAGCATGGTACAGAAATAGTGACTGTTTAGACATAATATTGAGACAAGTTTTGAAACTACCACTATTTGTTTAATTTTTCTAGGTAGGACATTGAAATTACACTATAAATTAATGAGGATTTAATGATGTTGTTGAACTTTGCTTTACTTCTAAAGGGAATATACTTCATGCTTTTGCACATGTGTAATTTATACTTGCACTAGCCTTGTTTTGGTGCAGTAATTTGATCAGTATATACCCTGGTTGGCTTGTTTCAAGGGTTGATAACCAGCTTGGTTGGCTCATTTTGGTTGATAGCTGGCCTGGTTGGCATAGGCAGCAACCATACGGGTTGTATTAAATGATTCATAACCAGCCTGGTTGTCAACAATATTCTGAATGCTTATATATTATTTGCATTTTTTATTTCATTATTATTACAATCCCCCTGAAAGTTGCATTTTTTAAAGAAAACAAGAGCTACCTCCCTTAAATGTTGGTTTTTAATATTTTTATTATTATTTCTTTTTCACTGACTGATCCAAATAAAAATCAATAGGTCCCGTTACAATTAGATTTGAAAGTGTTTTTATTATTTTTACTTCCCCTGAAATATTAATTTTAAAAAAATTGTTACTTCCCCTTAAATTTAACTTTGAATTTTTTTTTTATTATTGTAACTCCCCTTGAAGCTAGAAAGTAGCTTTGAACATTTGTTTTGCTTCTCACTTAGGTCGAAGAGCTGGTGGGGGTGTGTTATCATTTCTCCGAGGTGCCGCCTCGCGTGATTTAAACACTCACCATTCCTCAGCCCATGGCGCCCACCCCACGGTGGAGGCGGTGCGCTATGTGCCTGGGACTGCTGACTGGGGGGAGTTAGGTGGGAGCCCAGGTAATTTACTGCCACACCTGCAGTAGTCAGCAACTCACCCTGCACCTAACATATTTTTTAGACTCACCTCGACTTGATAAATTCTTGTTTTGCTTTATTTGAATCCGCTTCTAGCATTTGGAAATATTACTTTATTTTTTTTTTTTACTAAGGTAGACTCAGGTTGCTTTGTGCATGCTTCATATTTAATTTCATTTTCCCTCTTTTAACATTCTTTTGCTAGGAGAAATGATCTGTAGTGGCTATAATCCTCCCATCTCAGAGGTCAGCAACCTTGTCAAGTAAAAGACGTTCCTTATAATCATTTTTGTGTAAATAGTTATTCTGAAGCATAATTTTAATTAGATGCATATATTTGATGTGCATATTTATATTGTCAAGGACTAGCTTAATTAAAAAAAAAATTATGAAGAGAACCACAAATATGGCTGACCACTGACCAAGCTTAACGCAATAAATATTATTTATTTGCACCTTCGGTGTGTAACTAGCAGTGTAATATGTAATATTAGAGTTACATCATAGCTTATGCAAAAATCTACTTTTTTTATTTTATGTGTGCCTTACTTATGGTATAGGTCAACTTATTCCATGTGCTTTGTTTGGAAAGCTTCTTATGATTTTAAACATTTTTTATTCTGTTGTATTTGTATACTGCCACTATCTGTAAATTTATTTTGTGTGATCGTCCGTTTTATTAACTCCTTACCCATATATATCTGAGAGCGGTGTGACCATACTAAAATATGTACTTAATACGGCTGCCCATTTAGTTTTCTTGTCTTACCTGTGATTAAAATGTATACAGCGAGGCTTACTTAATCTAACCACACAGAAATTTTGCTGTACCAAGTCTAATCTTCCACAAACCTGGTAAAGGTAATATAATGGTGGGTTACTTTAAACTTCAGTGTTGTAAGCCACTAAGAAAATGAATATACACTTTGTTAGCATAACTCTTTAACAGTACGAGCATTTAACTCTTGTAGAATTAATTATCTGTGTCAGAAACTTGTACACACATCTTGGAAATATCTAGACCCACATGCTTTAAACTAGACCAAAAATCTAGACCCACATGCTCTAAACTATACCAAAAATCTAGACCTACTTGCTGTAAACTAGACCAAAAATCTAGACCTACATGTTGTAAACTAGACCAAATATTTAGACCTACATGCTGTAAACTACACCAAAAATCTAGACCTACATGGTGTAAACTAGACCAAATATCTAGACCCACATGCTGTAAACTAGACCAAAAATCTAGATTCACATGCTGAAAGCCTCACTACAATACAAATCTCTGGTCATGTGACACATTTGTTGTTGTTGTCACAGATGAAGTGAACATCTCTGTGCTATCTGATGATGCCACACCATCACCAGAAGAAAAAGTCAGCACCGCCTCTCCGCATATAGAGCTACGTAAGTCAAAATCATCTATTCTATGCTTTAATTTTCTTAATTCTATTATATAACAGTAATGGAATACAACTGTAGTCATTGGTAAGTGTCATAACCCAAGGGGTCAAGGTTCAAATACTGCTGACAATATGTCTCAGTGACTGCCACCCCTAGAACAGCTACATTACTTTCATTTCTCACCACAGTATTGCTAATTCTTATCATTGAACATTAATTAACATAAAATATTCCAGCTTATTTAATTATAAACTTAAATTAGTGTTTTATTATTTTTTCCGTTCTTTGTCCCCAGAGTTTTCTGACTCCTCTGCCAAATTTTATTGCCGTGTCTATTTTGCTGATCAGTTCCGGAAGCTTCGCAAGCATTTGTTTCTGGGCAACGACAACCTGTAAGTAGCCTTGGTAATTCGTAGTGCTACACTGGTGATGTTGTCTTCCTCCCTGCTTGTCTGATACCAAATGTAAAATTTTATTCTTCAGCTTCATTCGGTCCTTGAGTAGATGTAAAACTTGGGAGGCCAAAGGTGGAAAATCTGGTTCCTCATTTTGTAAGACTGATGGTAGGTGTTTACATGATTCTCCATTGTTGAAAGCATACTATTTGTCCATTAAACATTAAATCTCAAAAAAAAAATTCATAGGCTAGAATATTTATTGTTTGAGTGACCTGAATTTCACTATTAGCTCTTGGTATAAATGTTTCTCTACTTATAACACTGTTTTTCTGATAATTTATATTGTTTCTTATATGTATATTTTTTGTAAAAAAAAAATATGCTCCTGAATTTGTTTTAATTATTTAGGTAGTTGTGTGATAATATTGTGTTTGTCCTCCCATTGCCTGGGTCAAATCTCATTTGTTCTGTCCTTGCATCATATTTTTGTCTGTGTAGACAGCTCTGTTTTTGTGTATCTGTTACCTCCCCTTCTCCTTCAGTGTCTGTTACCTCCCCTTCTCCTTAGTGTTTGTTACCTCCCCTTTCTCCTTCAGTGTCTGTTACCTCCCATTCCTTCATTGCCCTGTGTCTAATCCCTCATCTCCACCCTACAGATGACAGGTTTATCCTGAAGCAGATGTCTAACATGGAGGTGGAGTCGTTTGAGAAGTTTGGGCCTCAGTATTTCCAGTACATGAGATCCTGTATCACTGACCAGGTCAGGATAGACATTTTTATAACTATATATGATTGGTCGATAGAGGGACACAAATTGGAATTTAAATTTCAGTAATATGGATCATTTCCTAACCATTCCAACCCCCTCTCCCCCTTAACTTGCTTTACTAGCCAGTAACAAAGTAACAAATATTTCCCAATCCCCTCCATTACTTGCTTCACTACTCAATTTAAATAATTCCCCACCTCCCCCTACACCCATAATCTGGTGAGATTAAATAATTCCCCCCCTCCTCCCCCCATAGCCTCTATTACTTGCTCTACTGGTGAGATTAAATAATTCCCCACCTCCCCCTACCCCCATAATCTTCAAGATTTATGGTAGTCAAAGAAACAAATATTTCACACGCCCCCCCCCCCCCCCATAGCCTCCATTACTTGGTCTACTGGTGAAATTAAATAATTCCCCCCCCCCCTCCTCCTCCCCCCCCCATCCATAGCCTCCATTACTTGCTGTACTAGTCAGATTAAATAATTCCCCCCCTCCTCCCCCCTCCCATAGCCTTCATTACTTGCTCTACTGGTCAGATTAAATAATCCCCCCCTCCTCCTCCCCCCCCCCTCCATAACCTCCATTACTTGCTCTACTGGTCAGATTAAATAATCCCCCCCTCCTCCCTTCCCCCCCCCCTAGCCCCCATTACTTGCTCTACTGGTCAGTTTAAATAATTCCCCCCCCCACCCTCCTCCCCCAGCAACCAACAGCCCTGGCCAAGATTGTAGGTGTCTACAGGATTGGGTTCCGCAACACCCAGACCAACAACGCACTACGACAGGATGTTTTAGTCATGGAGAACTTGTTTTATAACCGCAAGATTTCACAGGTATGTTTTATAACAGCAAGATTTCACAGGTATGTTTTATAACAGCAAGATTTCACAGGTATGTTGTATAACAGCAAAATTTCACAGGTATGTTTTATAACCGCAAGATTTCACAGGTATGTTTACTTGGTTTGGATTGTATTGTTGTGTGTTTGAAATGCATATCACGTGAATCACTATTAGGGTAACAGTTTCAAGAATTAGTCCTTTATATGTATTTCTATAAGTGTGGGTACATGGCCTATAAAAAAATCCCATTTTTTTTTTTTCTTGTTATTTAATCAGAGCTTTCTAGAAATTAGACCTCTAGTGTCCTTGCTCAAGAATTTGGGCCTGATTTTCTTGTAGGCAAATTGACCTGTATTTTCTTGTTCTAGAAATTGACCTGTATTTTTCTTGTTCTAGAAATTGACCTGTATTCTTCTTGTTCTAGATATTGACCTGCTGTTTTCTTGTTCCAGAAATTGACGTGATGTTTTCTTGTTCCAGAAATTGACGTGATGTTTTCTTGTTCCAGAAATTTGACCTGAAGGGTTCCTTGAGGAACCGCCTGGTGAACATCAACAGCAAGAGGGAGGAGGAGTTGGTGCTGCTGGATGAAAACCTGCTCAAATGTAAGTACATCACAGTATACCTACTTGCTGAAGTAGAACCTCCCAGTGTATCTACTTGCTGAAGTAGAACATCCCAGTGTATCTACTTGCTGAAGTAGAACCTCCCAGTATGTCTACTTGTTAAAGACTTAAATTTTACCTATCTAACTCTACAGGTAGTGTAGAGTCCCCCCTATACCTGAGACTTTATTTTACCTATCTAACCCTACAGGTAGTGTAGAGTCCCCCCTATACCTGAGGCCTCACAGCAAGTATGTCTTGAAGTCAGCAATCACAAGTGATTCATTGTTCCTGTCTACCAACCTTGTTATGGATTACTCGCTGCTGGTTGGAGTTGATGAATCCACTCAAGAAATGGTTGTGGGCATTATTGGTTAGTTTTTTATTGTGTATCATATACTGGTCAGTGTTTGATTGTGTCCTTTATTGGGCAGTGGTTGATTGTATTAGTACTATTGGGCAGTGTTTTTTCATGTTAGTACTTTTGGGCAGTATTTTATTATTGTGTTAACACTGTCAGATTTTTCTTTATTTTATTTTTCTTTATTTTGTGACAATAATCAGTTTATACATATAGTGGGGGATTAATTGGTCACTTTTTTTTTTATCCTTAGTTTTAAGTTTGCTTTAAACATTGGTACAAATGTTTCCTAGATTACATTCGATTGCTTTAAACATTGATACAAATGTTTCCTAGATTACATTCGATTGCTTTAAACATTGGTACACGTTTCCTAGATTACATTCGATTGCTTTAAACATTGGTACAAATGTTTCCTAGATTACATTCGATTGCTTTAAACATTGGTACACGTTTCCTAGATTACATTCGATTGCTTTAAACATTGGTACAAATGTTTCCTAGATTACATTCGATTGCTTTAAACATTGGTACAAATGTTTCCTAGATTACATTCGATTGCTTTAAACATTGGTACAAATGTTTCCTAGATTACATTCGATTGCTTTAAACATTGGTACAAATGTTTCCTAGATTACATTCGATTGCTTTAAACATTGGTACAAATGTTTCCTAGATTACATTCGATTGCTTTAAACATTGGTACAAATGTTTCCTAGATTACATTCGATTGCTTTAAACATTGGTACACGTTTCCTAGATTACATTCTATTGCTTTAAACATTGGTACAAATGTTTCCTAGATTACATTCGATTGCTTTAAACATTGGTACACATGTTTCCTAGATTACATTCTATTGCTTTAAACATTGGTACAAATGTTTCCTAGATTACATTCGATTGCTTTAAACATTGGTACACATGTTTCCTAGATTACATTCGATTGCTTTAAACATTGGTACACATGTTTCCTAGATTACATTCTATTGCTTTAAACATTGGTACAAATGTTTCCTAGATTACATTCGAACCTTCACGTGGGATAAGAAGCTGGAGATGGTGGTCAAGTCTTCAGGAATTTTAGGTGGACAAGGCAAGTATTCTACTTGTTATCATCACCTTTTATCAAATTGTATTCAGAAACAGAAATAAAGGAGCTAAGGTTTAAAAAGAATCTCCCTGTTAATTTACAACTGCTGAAAATATCCCTTGAAAATTTAGCTATGTCACATGTTGTGAATTTAAAAAAAAACCTTGGAATGGCTTTATCTATTAGATGCTTGTGACTCAATAAAGATTGATGTATGAGTAACGCAATTGTGACATGACTGTGACAATACAACAAATGTAACAAGTAATTCAAGTATCTTAACAAACTATCCTGAACATTTCCTGCAGGGAAAATGCCAACAGTTGTGTCCCCTCAGCTGTACCGAGGACGTTTCCTGGAGGCGATGGACCGTTACTTTCTCCAGGTGCCAGACCACTGGACAGGCTTAGGTCAAGGTAAACTTGAGATTTAGGTCAAGGTAAACTTGAGATTTAGGTCAAGGTAAACTTGAGATTTAGGTCAAGGTAAACTTGAGATTTAGGTCAAGGTAAACTTGAGATTTACCAACTTTAAATAATCTCAACATAAATCTAAGCTGCAAGTTTAAGAAAAGGTATGACTGGTTTAAGTTTTCTATGGTCAAAACTTATTTCCTTACCAGATTCCTGCTCAAAACCACCAACAGTTGAACCAAGCACAGGCAAAGATCCCAAGAAATGATCAGGGGACATAACACAATTAGCAGGGGATGTAACACATTCAGCAGACTGAAAGAGTACATTGGCTGTGAATATTTCAAATACCCGGTTTCACCTTCTCACTATTATTCTAGTCTCATGTATGTAGGGAATAGGGAAAAATTACTGTCTCTCTTAGATCAAGTTGAAGTTAAGCAAAAACTTAATAAATATTTAAATATAACCATGCCATGCCTTGTATTAAACAATGTGATAATTGTTACAAATTTTTCATTTGGTGACAGATAAACTTAGGATGTGTATTCCAAATCAGGAGTGGACTACTGTTTGTCCTTACTTTTTTTAATCTAAGTTTTTCTAGGGGATAAATCTTTTAAAAGTTGCCCCACCAAAACAAAATTGTTTGTTTCATTCAATCAAACCTTGTTACATTTTCCCATTGAAATTTTTTTAGAACATAAAACATTCCTAGAGCATCAACTTAGAGTGACCAAAATATGCAACCCAAAACTGCACACACAAAAACAGTGTTCAAGGGAATTTTTTTTGAGTGATGATTTAAAGACCTTAGTAGAGTATGACCAGATGTACATTGTACTGGTAGCATTATAAAACATGGATAGTGTATTAGTATGAGGAGTTTATATTATGCATTTTTCTGTTTGTGCAGATGCTTTGGTTGCACATTTTTTTCATGGTGCGTATTTTTGGGGACACATTTTAGCCATGTTGTTGTGGCTGTGTTTGTTTACTGGTTGTTGACTTGTGTTGGCTGACTGATGACTTTTCTGACTTGTGTTGGCTGACTGATGACTTTTCTGACTTGTGTTGGCTGACTGATGACTTTTCTGACTTGTGTTGGCTGACTGATGACTTTTCTGACTTGTGTTGGCTGACTGATGACTTTTCTGACTTGTGTTGGCTGACTGATGACTTTTCTGACTCGTGTTGGCTGACTGATGACTTTACTGACTTGTGTTGGCTGACTGATGACTTTTCTGACTGCTGTAGGCTAACTGATGACTTTTCTGACTTGTGTTGGCTGACTGATGACTTATCTGACTTGTGTTGGCTGACTGATGATATTTCTGACTGCTGTAGGCTGACTGATGACTTTCCTGACTTGTGTTGGCTGACTGATGACTTTCCTGACTTGTGTAGGCTGACTGATGACTTTCCTGACTTGTGTTGGCTGACTGATGACTTTCCTGACTTGTGTTGGCTGACTGATGACTTTCCTGACTTGTGTTGGAGGACTGATGACATTAGTGACTTGTGTTGGCTGACTGATGACTTTTCTGACTTGTGTTGGCTGACTGATGACTTTCCTGACTTGTGTTGGAGGACTGATGACTTTTCTGACTTGTGTTGGCTGACTGATGACTTTTCTGACTTGTGTTGGAGGACTGATGACATTAGTGACTTGTGTTGGCTGACTGATGACTTTTCTGACTTGTGTTGGCTGACTGATGACTATTCTGACTGATGACTTTCCTGACTTGTGTTGGCTGACTGATGACTTTCCTGACTTGTGTTGGAGGACTGATGACTTTTCTGACTTGTGTTGGCTGACTGATGACTTTTCTGACTTGTGTTGACTGACTGATGACTTTCCTGACTTGTATTGGCTGACTGATGACTTTCCTGACTTGTGTTGGCTGACTGATGATATTTCTGACTGCTGTAGGCTGACTGATGACTTTCCTGACTTGTGTTGGCTGACTGATGACTTTCCTGACTTGTGTAGGCTGACTGATGACTTTCCTGACTTGTGTTGGCTGACTGATGACTTTCCTGACTTGTGTTGGCTGACTGATGACTTTCCTGACTTGTGTTGGAGGACTGATGACATTAGTGACTTGTGTTGGCTGACTGATGACTTTTCTGACTTGTGTTGGCTGACTGATGACTTTCCTGACTTGTGTTGGAGGACTGATGACTTTTCTGACTTGTGTTGGCTGACTGATGACTTTTCTGACTTGTGTTGGAGGACTGATGACATTAGTGACTTGTGTTGGCTGACTGATGACTTTTCTGACTTGTGTTGGCTGACTGATGACTTTTCTGACTGATGACTTTCCTGACTTGTGTTGGCTGACTGATGACTTTCCTGACTTGTGTTGGAGGACTGATGACTTTTCTGACTTGTGTTGGCTGACTGATGACTTTTCTGACTTGTGTTGACTGACTGATGACTTTCCTGACTTGTATTGGCTGACTGATGACTTTCCTGACTTGTGTTGGCTGACTGATGACTTTTCTGACTTGTGTTGGCTGACTGATGACATTAGTGACTTGTGTTGGCTGACTGATGACTTTTCTGACTTGTGTTGGCTGACTGATGACTTTCCTGACTTGTGTTGGCTGACTGATGACTTTTCTGACTCGTGTTGGCTGACTGATGACTTTTCTGACTTGTGTTGGCTAACTGATGACTTTCCTGACTTGTATTGGCTGACTGATGACTTTTCTGACTTGTGTAGGCTGACTGATGACATTGTTAAATTGCTGTTTGGCTGACTTATGACTTTGCTTACCTAGCCATTGCTGACTGTTGATCTAGTCTAAAGCTACTATTTATGCTAGTTTTGAAAGTGCAATATATTTGTTGTTTTAAATCGTCAGCTTTTTTATTATCATCTGTTTGTCATTTATGAATATTTTCACATTTTTAAATATTTTCATTTTATAAAATATATTTATGATTCTTCTATTATTTTTATATTTTCTAAACATCGATAGGTTAAAAAATAATTTTCTTTCTACAAAATCAGTGATTGATATCAACTATATTAAATTATCTTATTAACTAATCAGTATTCCTTATGTCTTGCATTGTAAAAAAATCAAACTAATTTATACTTGATCATGTCACATAAAATTTAACATGAAGATGGTTGAGCAATGGATTTGTTTACACCAAACATCTATCTTGCTGCACAACTTATTCAAATAAAGACCTCATACTGAGGCAATTAGAGTATTTTCTGTAAATGTCAGGGTTTTAGGCAACTTTTGGCCTGATACTGGTGGGGTGGGGGACAGGTTGTTGTTAGTTCTACCCCAGGCCATAGGGTTATTTTATGGTTTGCGGATATTGAGAAAAAAATGTTAAGTAAAAACATAATTAAAGGTTAATTCATTGCTAATTGGGTTGTGTGGAAATTAGAAAATCTAAACAATTACATATATTTTTTTAAATATGTGGTGTAGAATTAGTCTCACCTTCTACCATCCCCTACCTAGGGTTGTATCTATACCCTAGTCAAAACAAGTGGCCTACATTTTATTGTCATGATACCCCCCCACACACACACACACATCCCATTTATCCAACCTGATTACAAGAAATTAGTTTTTAAAATATTGAAAGTTGTATGCATGCTTGAGTAGCCTTGAGCACTGTTTGACTTTAATGTAAGCACTGTAAACTTTACATTGTAAATATTAATAATGTAAAGTTTACATTATATTTATATAAATGATGTAAATGTAAACATTGTAAGTACAAACACAAGGCAATGTGGCTTAGTTCTCTAGTTGTATTGAGTTGCTGGCAACATCATTATAGCTGACATTTTAATTCATTTACTGCTTTGTTAATTAATTAATTTCATTGCTGGTAGTAAATAACTGAATGCCATCCCAGTTCTTTTAATTTTTTCTTTAGTTGGCAAACCACTTTCCAGTTTATGAAAATTTATCATTTATAGGACATTCACTTTCCCTTTTCATTGTTTTAAATCTATGCAATAATTGCAAATCAAAACATGGAAATCATATCAAGTAATATTAAAATAAAATAAAAAGTATTTTACTGGGACCTTTAATATAATAAATATATACAATGGGTTTTATACATATTTTATCAACATGTTTAAAAACTTGAGTGAATTGTTTGATGTCTTGTTTCAAGCAATGGCATTTGTATGATGACAGTTTGACCAACCTTGTCCAATGGGCATGTGCTGACCTCTGTCTGAAATGTGGTCAACCACATGTATGATAGTACCATCCACACATATGTTGCTAGTTCAGATGTTGACCACTGTCAGGTGTGGTCAGCCACACGTATGATGGTACCAACCACACATATGTTGCTAGTTCATATGTTGACCACTGTCAGGTGTGGTCAACCACATGTATGATGGTACCATCCACACATATGTTGCTAGTTCATATGTTGACCACTGTCAGGTGTGGTCAGCCACACGTATGATGGTACCACGCTTATGTTGCTAGTTCAGATGTTGACTGACCACCCTATAAACACTGGGCATTTAGTAAACCTGCTACAAGATCTTGTAGTTAAATAACTTAGTGATTGGATGTATGAACTGTTTTATTGGTTTGTTTGATAAATTAATCAATTCTCACCCATAAAAAGCATGCTATGTGATCATTCACAAATATTCTAAAAAAATTATTTTTGAATTTTGGAACCTCTGTTGTTTGTTTTCACTCAAATCATTCATCATTCGCATGCCCGTGATATTTTATAAATCGTGCTATAAATAGAAATGTTTTTGTGATTTTAGAAATGGGAGAGTTTCCGACATTCCTAGTTTTGTTGTTAATGGTGTGTTCACCAACTGCTGCAGTGGATGTTAGCTGTACTTAATATATATATGTGTGTGGTGTGTACAGTTAGGTTTTTTGTGCACAACTTGATATATATATATATATATATATATATATATATATATATATATATATATATATATATATATATATATATTGTTAGGATTAGTTTACAGGTAGTTATGTACAGGTAGATCTGTGTGTGCAAATGGTTCTACATGTGCAGTTAAATTTGTGTACATGTACATCTATGTGAACAATTATGTATATGTTCACTGCTAGATCTATATATATATAGTTATGCTTATGTGTAGCTCGTATGTGTATAGCATGTTCTACCTGTACAATTAAGTCTGTGTACATCCAGGTCTATTTGTACAGGTAGTTCTGTGTTTATAATTGAGGTCTGTAAGTGCAATTGCATGTGTGTATATGTAAGTATGTGTACAGTTCCTTTGGTGTACAATGTAGATAATTTTTGCTGTGTTTCAAAACACAATGTCTTGTTATATTTACTGTTACCTATGCAATAATAAACATCCATCTGTTTTTAACCCTCTAACACATGCTCTTGTTGACTTGTGTGTCAGTCAGTCTGTCGCATTTTATTTGTATGGCAGCAGCATGTCATAATTAATTACAGTCTATTATGTAGTTAGTCTACACATATAGGCGCCAAGAGATAATTGTAAAATATTTTTTTACTAAATTCAAAAGTTTGGTTTTTATAACTCTTTAAGTGTTTTAGAAGTAATTTAGGCACTGCTAAGATTAAAGGTGAAATTCAGTAATGCTTTGGCATTAGCAGAATAAACCAACAAAAGAAAAACGTTTCCTAGAACTAGAAGCACATCTATTTTTATTGATGACAGGGAATTCCCGGGTATGGGAAGACGTCATAGTCTATATATAACACAACCGGGTCAGTGAAGCTTGTCCGAAGAAGAGATATTCTAATACAAGCGTTGACGTGGATTATTATCAGCTAATTATAGAACAGTTTTTTAAATCTACAAGAATACACCAAATGTTAATAAACGAATATAACATGAATTTTACAACACTTCAATGGGTAATTAATGTGTTACATAACTTAGCATGTTGTTGGGTACCGGCTAGTTAAAACACAGCTCTATAAGACGTCTGGCTTACTTCTGAGAACTTAATTAAGCAGGAAGATAACAGTGTCAGACCAACATGGTTGAGATCCTTCGTCTTGCTCAGACGCATACATAACACACTTAAGGGACGTAACCATAATATATACATATAATACAAAAGGACGTTAATTTACTAACAATACTTAACAATAAATACAATAACGAAACCAACAACACATACATTTAGTATGGAAAATAAGCCTACTACAAACATAATTCTAGGCAAAGTAACATAGCACAACATAGTTTTTAAACACTTAGCTAAAATGAGTCACCACAGCTGTCAATTACCACTGGCAGTAATTACTGGCAGCTGTCATTGTGAGTTTATGTTAATTAGGTCTTTACTTGGCTGTAAGTCTGAGCCGACTGCTGTTAATTTTGTTCACATAACACAAAGCCATAGCTACAGCCATAAAAGCAATACCACCTCCCACAGCAGCGAATGTGACAAAAAGCGGCAAACAACTAACTTCCTCCAGGACTGGTCTAGCATTATATCCGTTCATGTTTCCCCTAGTTCCGGCACTGGGATCTGAACACACACTGTCACTGGTGTTGCTGCACATTCTCTCGACCACCTGACCTACAGCGCAGTGAGAACACGGACTACACACCTGTCCTGACCGGAAGTAGCCAGGCACACACCCAACGATGACGTCAGACTGTGACGTG